CTGAGCCAGAGAGACCCAACATGGGAGAGGTCCAAGGTCCAGCTGACAACTGTCTGTTCAGGGCACAGAAGCTAACAGTAGATGTCCCCAAAACATCCCAGAGGAGTATGTGGCCTCCATTCTTAAATATGAAGTGTGTTGTCATCAGTTTTCCACTTGCCACCAAACTCCTTTCACAAGTTTCTCGCTCTTGTGCAATATTTGCTTTGGTGAAATTTGCCTGAGAAGTAAGTGTTAGATTTTCTCTCAGTGCAAGCCCTAGAAACGTAAAAACCATTTGAAACCTGTTCACAAGCTGATTATTATGCAGATCAGTCAACATTATCCTTTCCCTCATTACCTCAAATGCTTTGTGCCATCTGTTGGTAACAAACCTGCATCTGGCAAATTACCCATTGATTAGGGCTCCTCTGATAATTAGGGTAGAAGCTCGTGGAGAAGGCCCACCAGTGGGCACAAGGAAAGCTACTGGTGTGAAAAGAGAAGGACCCTACAGAGTCAAGGTCTTGCATCCAAATGTATATCTGACAAGGATTCTTCCTGAAAATGACTAGGACCAAGATCAGCTGCATCAGTTTCTTTCAACTGCAGTAATTCCCTGCAGTGATTCCTGATTGATTTCTTGTTGGGCAATCAGAACTCTAGTAATTCATTTCCTGTGCACAATATTCCTGTTCCTGCATAGTCTGCATATAGGGACAGCCTAGTGAACTACAGTGAACCAATAATGCAGCGGTATTCATCGTGTTGTTCTTTAGATACAGGCTACAACTCCCATCATCCCTGGCCACTGGCTACGTTGACTGGAACTGATGGGAGATGGAGTTCAGCAACATCACCATATTGGCTACCCCTGACACAGTGGAGCCAAATTGATCTGGGTAGAGCTTGCTAATGTGATCTCACTCCTCACATGCACATCCTCACTCCAGGCATGTCCATCATAAGGACAAGGCTACTGTGATTTGTGAAACAGAAAGCTCCACTAACCTAGCCATGAATGCGCACACTTGCCTTCCCAGATTCAGATCCCACCCCCCCACCCCACATACACCCTGTGCTGCAACACAGAGATTATACCAATGACCTAACTTACAAAATTGTTGTAAGGATTGCTACGATAATGTACAAAAAAAGATTACTAATACTTGTCAAACAGTAATAGGTATTTGTTATTTCCTATTACATGAGGCCTACAATATGAAGCCTTTATGAAGGCTTGCAAGAGGATATATGAAAAAGTAACAGCGTGGGATAAAGTGAGTGATGAACATACAATAAAATGTTAAGTGTGAATATGTAGGCAAGTTATGGGCCACAAATGACCAAAGGCAAAGTTTGTCAGACAGTAATAGGTATTTGTTATTTCCCGTGACATTCACCTCTGCTCCACAGAAGAGAGAAAAGGGATCCACACTGGCAATGGAAGATACAGAAGTAGGATACATCCATCTACACCAGGCATAAGCAAACTTGGCCCTCCACATGTTTTGGGACTATAACTCCCATCATCCCTAGCTAACAGGACCAGTGGTCAGGGATGATGGGAGTTGTAGTCCCCAAACATCTGGAGGGCCGAGTTTGCCTATGCCTGATCTACACAAATTTATGTGCCTGCCATCTACATGAAATCCAACAGTCGGCCAGCAGAATTGACATCGCTGACAGAACAGATCCCCCTTTCACAGCCCTCCAAAATGCTAGAGGACTGAGGGACCCTCTGAAACAGATGAGGGGCCCGGGAAGTCCCACTGCACAAGCCCCATGATGCAGTGCTGATGTTGCCCACTGACTTCTAATGGATCCTAGGCAGCAAACAACAATGAAACCTGGAAAAGACACCCAGATGAGACCTGGAGGCTATCTGGCAGCAAAGTTGGGAGGGCATAAAGCCGTCTTCCTGCCCAGCTCAACTTTACATCCGTACCAATAAAGGGCACCTGCAGGCCGGGAGACACAATTCTCATTACGTCAGCGCATAAAGCCCCCGATTCACCTCTATATTATGGAAAGACAATACACCCAACAAGGAAACCAGCAGGCCTCCCCTTTCAGTCACACCCCTTTCAGAATTATTTCCTTCTTTTCTTCTCTGCTTCCCAAGTCCAATTTCGGCGAGTTTCACTCTCTCCCCCACCTGCTCTTCCCATATTAAACATTGATGCAGGAGCGGAACGTGATAGTGCTGGCATTTCTTTACCGATGCAGCGAGTGGAGGAAGGGCCGGGGGGGCGGAGGAGGGTTGATGCTGAGGGTGGGGGAGACGTGATCGGTCGGCGAGCCTGCTTTGGAGGGGAAGCAACAGAGAGGAAGCGGGGAGTAACATCTGGCAGGCAGAAGCAGGGCTGAGAGTGGGGTCAGAAACAGGCCTTGTGCTGAGGCAGGTCATTGTATATGCACTTTCAGCCTCAACAGTGGAACGAGGAGGGTGTAACATTACACACTTCTCTTAAAGCCTACCCAGGTAGCAAGCTTTGCAAGGCACCGGCAGCCTATTCAGCAGCAAGGGTGTTTTCAGAGATGGCGCAAACCTCATCCAGCAGGCACACGCTATTTCAGATCATCTTGGTCAGGTTCAGAGGCCGAGACTGCCAGATTTGGTTCGCTGCTTCTGTAGAAGGTAACTGAAGATGGGCAAAGACCCTACAAGAGCCGATAAGCTGTGCCTGCATCTTTGCTCAGGTATCAACAGTATCCAATGAGCATCTGAAATCAGAAGCAGCAATGGGCTGAAGCGAGAGAAGCGTTTCAAAATGTACTCATCTATATGTTGGTGACCATTAATATTAATTAATATTACTGCAAAACTCAGAAGACAAACGGACCAACAGGTTCTGTTTGCTTCCCATCATGATCTCGAACCAACTATGAAGCACTTAAATGGATGCACACCTATACAGCGTTGCACAGGTTTACAGCATCAGTATCCTCTCCAAGGCTCAAAACACCAACCTAATGTAATAACTGTGAGATAGGCTATGTGGAGAAATTAATTTGGCCAAGGCTACCCTTGTGGGCATAAAAGACTTTGTTCTTCCAGTTGCTATTGGAATAAATTATTGATCCACAAATCCACAGGACTTTACACGTGAAATTAATTGTTTGCATACAACTGAAACCTCTGCTTTATGATCAGTATCAATTTGTTTTTAAGTAAACCCTTCTCTCGGTCTTTGACAAAACAGTGGCATCTAGTGGCTGGTCCCAGAGTTTTTACTGTTACTTCAGCTTAGCATTTTTAGAACAAGATGGGGGTGGGAGTCGAGAAACCTAGTTGTTCTGGATAAATGCAAAATGAGTGGCAGATTACCCCCATCGTTCTGCCCGGACACTGAGGTCCAGCGCCAAGGGCCTTCTGGCGGTTCCCTCGCTGTGAGAAGTGAGGTTACAGGGAACCAGGCAGAGGGCCTTCTTGGTAGTGGCGCCTGCCCTGTGGAACACCCTCCCAGCAGATATCAAGGCAATAAGCAACTATTTTACTTTTAAAAGACAACTGAAGGCAGCCCTGCTTAGGGAAGTTTTTAATGTTTGATGCTGTATTGTTTTTAATATTCGGTTGGAAGGCGCCCAGAGTGGCTGGGGAAACCCAGCCAGATGGACGGGGTATAAATAATAAATTATTATAATAGTATTATTTATGAATTCTTGTACTAGAACGGTTTCAACAATTACATTATATACAATTAGAATTTCATATATTTCCAGTTATTGTTTAGCTGGCTTAACAGCTTTAAAAAACACACACTTTTAACAACTGCGTAACAAAATTGGCTTTGGAGAGCGAGGTTTCTTTGCTGGTCGCCCAAATGACACAGATGTTACAGAAAAGGATAGCACCTGTCAGTGGTCCAAACACTCTATCAAGAAACAATAAATCCAGAGAGAAAGGCATCCGGCTGGCCACTGTTAAGAAGTGGGTGCTGGACTTGATGGGCCCTTGGCCTGATCCAGCATGGTTCTTCTGTATATTTTTGGGTGTTTATATATCAGTCTTACAATAATGTCAGCTGAAATGATTACTGTAAGCCCATGACCCTGTACCATTTGTACTGTTATCATCTTTCATTTTCTTCTTTTGCTGTTCTTGAGGAAAGGCTATAGCTGTGGAAACAGGTTATGGTTTAATGGCACAGCATCTGCTTTGCATGCCGAAGGTTTCAGGTTCAATCTCTGGAAAGGTTTCAGGTTCAATCTATGGCACCTCCAGGTAGGACTTGGACTGTCTGAAACCCTGAAGAGCCGCTGCCAGCCAGAGAAGGCAATGCTGATCTGGGTGGACCCATGGTCTGACTCAGTGCTAAGGCAGCTTCTACGTACTGATTCACAACATCAAAATACAAAACAAAAACATCATAGCTAGATTTCAAAAAGCCCAACTAAAATTAGTGTGTGTTTTAGTGACATAATCTTGTAGCTTATGCCCTGACCAAAACAACAAAAGGCCAAGGGAAGCCACATACCAGGATGTTTACTCCCAGCATCTCATGTGACCATCTAGGCTCTCAGCAATGCATCCCCAATAACTGTTTATGCAGCTTTAAAGAGCAGGTTTTTGTGGAGAAAGCTCCAGAGCTTTAAAAGGGTGTGTGTGTGCTTGGACACACAGCTTTAAGGCACAGACCTGTGTCTGTAAAGAGTCGGGCAAAATGTAAGTGTGGATTGAACATAATTGCACAAGTCTGACTCAAACAGAAATTGGATCTGGCATGTTGAAGGCTAACACTGACCTCAAGAAGAAATCCATCTTTAATATTGATAATGAACATGGTCAGCAGGAAACGCTAAGCATCATTGTACACAATTCTAGAAAGTTTGTAATAACATTTGAGTTTCCCCATGAACAATTCCTGTTTCTGTGTCGCATATTACTTTTAGTGCCCATGCAGTAAATAATATTTTTAATTGAAACTAATGAGACACTCAGGTGCTCCACAGCTTCATCACACCAGAAGCAGGCAGCCACACGCATATTCCAAGCATCCAACAAAAACCTCAAAAGCCAGCTGACCATTTCAGAAAAGTTTAATGTGCATTTAAAAAATAACAACTGAGGCACATCCTTAGAAGCAGCTTCACCATAGAAACCCTCTAGTTCAGACATAACCTTGCTCATTATTAAAGGTAATTCATAACCAGAACTAAGAGCGAGTGGATCAGTCACAGCCTGGACCCATCGTGTGCTCCCCATTCATGCTGTTTGGTTGCATCTATTAAGGTTTAACTCTGCCCAAAAGAAAGGCGGCAACTGCAGGTGAGGAAATGGAGGCACCACTGAGACAATCAGCTAGATTATCTGCTAAACTTGCCCCCACCCACCTAAACCAGTCAAAGCCCCCAAAAGAAGCATCTGATAAAGAAAAAGGAGCAAATGATGAGAGACGACTGAAAGGTGGCCAAAGGGAAGAAAGGAGCAAAGGAAAAAGATGAATCTAAGCAAGAAAATGATGCTGAAGTGTCTGACGACAAGCCAAGTTCTGAGTAACAAATTTAGCCCCCTTCATTTCCATCATTTGGTATCCGTACCTCCATACCGTATTGGTAAGAGAGGAATGTTTTTCTCCACTCTTTTATAACTCCTGGTTTTCTTAGCATGAATTTAATTATGGAACATCTTGATTTCAATTACTTGTATCTTAAACCAATGGGAAAACAAACAAAATCATTGTTTTGTGATTGTCACAGTTTGTATGGTACCTGGAAAGAATGAGTGGTGGCTTCCTATTGACTTCTGTCACTATATAATCCCTTTTGTTTTGTAGGTCATACAAGACTTCAAATTTCCACCCTTCGTATGTGCTGAATGGTTTCTTAAAGTAGGGCAGTCTAAAAATAATTATGATAATAACGCCACAAAATAATTGCATCAGACATTCTGATGGTTCTGTGGGTTGCTTTTATAAAGAAGCTGGGATATTTCCAGGAAAAATCATAAGGAACTAGAAACCTTGTATCCCAAATGTAGTTCTATTTTGCCACATTTTACAGAATAATAAAGAATGTAAAAAAAGGGGGGGGGAGACTAGAACAAAGAGGAAATGTAGTTCCAGTTACATAGTACCTTTGACATGATTTAAACTTTGAGTCCCTTAGCTGGCTTTCCTTGTGACCTAAAGTCTATTCCACATCATTATTACCTTTAAAGAGGGAGGGAGGAAAGATACCTTTCACCTTACATCCAACAGTTGTTCCAACCACACCATTTTTCTATGGTCATTTAAGGATGTGAAACCTGAATTGTCGTGCTCCAGCTTCAGGATGGATTTGCTGTTGGCGACATGCGAGTTTCCAATTCTATGTTTTAATATCAGTCCACAAAAATGTGCAGCTAATAGTGTACAGCTGTTAAGACCAGGAATGCCTAGGTGCTGCTATAATGAGGGGCAGTGTGAACATTCAAATGAGATAGTGTAAAAAATAAAAAGGCAACAAAACTAGCATGGAACATTTTAGATCTGCACAAATGCTATCATTTCAGAGTGCCATAGTTTTTTTCCTGCATTCTGTGAACAAAACGAAGAAAAGTACAGAATGTTAACAAGCAGCTACCTGACATAAGCTTTCAGAAAACTAGAAAAAAAGAACAACACAACCTCAAAAGAGAAAAATAAAAACGTAGCATTTTACATGGGATTGCTTTGCCTAAATGTGAAGCTTTTATGCCATATTACAGGCATAGGCAAACTTGGCCCTCCAGGTGTTTTGGGACTACAATTCCCATCATCCCTGACCACTGGTCCTGTTAGCTAGGGATGATGGGAGTTGTAGTCCCAAAAACATCTGGAGGGCCGAATTTGCCTATGCCTGCCATATTAAGACAATGGATGTGTGTCCGTAACAGAACTTCATGCACATTTTCTCCTTTTATATTTCTGACACAGAACGCGATCTCAGTCTCACGACCAAGAAAAACAGCAGGAGATGCTCCACATTTGAAAACAATACAAGTGTATCCCCACCACGGCCCAATTCGTTATAGAAATATGGGCGTAATCCAGATATGGTAACACAAGCAGTAATGTTTGGTTACCTCTCAGCAAGAAAAACATCCATTTAGAATTCATATTAAGGATGTCTCTGAAGAAGCCTTGTGTAGGCAGCCGTTAAGAGTGCTTTGTAGAGCTTCAATATAATTGCCTTAGTAGCAATGACCATTACTGACACCCCACTTTGCCCCACTAACTTACAGATTGTGAGACTCGCGTAATACTTTTTCAAATCCCCATGGAGCCCACATGCCTAAGGTGCCTGGTGGTTAACTGCCAAGCCTCATGCTCTCTCTGCAGGCAGTTTCATGCTCCAGTGCAGGCAGGAACATGTTGGCCTTACAGCCAGCTCTGCATCTCCTCTTCATACCTCTGTGGATCAATGAAAGGCTTGTCAATGGACCGGATCATCAGCTCTCCACAATACACACATTCAGCTGCCACAATATCATCAATGTCAGCTTTCATCTGCTCACGGCTTAACTGTCCCTTTCCTTGGCTAGAAGTATCGGTGTCCTTAGGCCGGTGGTGGGATTTGGAGGGCTGGCTTGTGGCCGAGAGCTTCTTTTGAAGGTCTTCCAGTTTAGCCTGCTTGTAGGCAGGCAAGTTTGGATAAACTGCCTGCAGAAGGCAATCGTAGTGGAACATGTGCCCACAGAGGAAGAGGTAGAAGGGGCGGTTCAGGAGCGGGAAGTCACATGCCGCACATTTCTCCTGGGGTTCCACAGAGCCATATTTGTTCCTCATTTCCTGAATGTCTTCCCGGATCCTTTTGGCACTCTGTGTGGCTTCCTCCATCTCCGTCTTCAACTCCTCTATGTGCTTGTTGTAGGCCTCTAGAGAGTTGCAGATGGCTTCCTTGAAGTGATCAATGGTGACAAAGTCTGGAAAGAATGGCAGGACATCTTCAATCTTCAGCAGGTTGCAGCTGGAAAGGCAGGCCATGGCCTTCTTGACATCCTTCTCCTCCTGGACGACATGTCGCGCAATCTTCAGCCAAAGCTTCTTCCTCAGCTCCTCATCGTCTTCAGGGAGGTCTGCACAGGACTTTGCCATATCTACATCCACCTGGGAAGAACAAAGCAAAAAGGAAGGAAAGAAAGATAAGGAACTAGTCACCATTTATACCCCTCGCTCCTGTCACTAAATACATGGTTGGTAAAGGAAAGACACTGGTAAGAGGAACCAGACATAGTTACATAAAAATAAAGGTAACAAGAGGAAGATGATGTGTCTCATCTCCCCCAATGAAATCTTGATGTTGTTTTCGGTTGCTGCTTTCAGTGGTCAGGGATCATTTTGAAAACTCATCTATCCATAGATGAAACAAGACAGAAAAATTCAAAAGGAGTTGCATTGCCCCATGGGACACACTTTTTGCTCTTAACCAACATGGCTGGGGAAACCAAACCAGATGGGCAGGGTATGAATAATATTATTATTACTATTATCATTATCATTATCATTATTATTATTAACATAGAGAGAATTAATAATGTAGAAGACCATTTGGATGCTCTCCTTACAAAACGGAGGTTACTGGATGCTTTCATTAATTGCCCACGAGAACAATAGTCATATGGCACCTTAAAGAGGAACATGTTGAAGAATTCACATTTCAAACGCTTGTCTGAAAGACAGTGAAGCCAGGTTCCTGCTGAGCCTCTACTGGCAGGGAGTTTCACAGGGCAGGACCTGCCATGTTAAGGGCTCAGTCCCTAATAAAGGCTGACTGAACCTTAGGGACATGGGGAACCACAAGAAGTGCCCCATATACACATGGCCAGGAGAGGGAATTCTAAGCAGTGAAGTCAGAGGAAAATAAAATGGAAGAAGTACAGACAGTGGGTTATATCAAACTCACGTCTCTCCACAGATGAAAGGCTTGGAGTCTTCCACCAGTGGAACACAGATCAAGGTGATCTTTGGCGATTTTGCCCTCCCCGTTACATTACTTCCTGTGCTATTCCAAAGGGTCTCCCAACCCTCTGGAGCAGATTGGAAGCGATGCAGTGGGGAACGGGAATTTCCAAAGATGTCTTCACTCCCTGTTCCACTGACAGAAGTCTCTGCTGGGATCTAAGAGCCTTCCAACAGTAGATGGACGCCAAGTGTACACAGCCCAGCAGCAATTACGTGAAGGTGACATAGAAGAGCTAAATGAAACCTTGTTGTCTAGAAACAGAATCTCTCAAAATGCCAGGTGTTGGGACAGATAACCATACGCTTCTTGTGAGTTTCCCCCCAAACAACTGCTAGCTGCTGCTGAAAAGAACACCCAACCAAGCCAGCAATGCAATTATTCCCTTAGACAACACTGTTCTAACAGACTCTTGCTTTCCAGTCAATGAATACGACAACAGTGTTTCCCAGGTCTTCTGTCTACACCAAAACTTCCACAATCCTTTCAAGCTTTGAAATAAATCTAATGCATTTTCAAGTGCATAAACGAATGGGGTCATTGTTCCCCTACCTGCAAAGCGAGATCCACAGCTTCCTCGTACATCTCCATAACTTTGTACACATGGACACAAGCCCGGTGGTGGCCGTGTTCTGCACAGAGCCGAAGTGCGTACTTCAGGTCATAGTGGATGTTGTCGGCGTAGGTTCCAGCGCGTTCCAGATACGACAACAGCGAGTCAGGGCGACACAGAGCATAGAGCGACAAGAGGTAATTGTGAATGGCTTGCTGAGTTTCCTTCAGTTCACTCACACAGAACTCCATGTATCGAATGGCTTCGTTGATCTGTTCGGTGCTCCCACTCTGGCTGTAGTTGACAAGGGCGGGGATGAGGTTCTTGGCATCCAACTTCTTTCCCATTTCGATCCAAGCATCCACCAGCTTCTTGGGGATGTGCTGGATCAAGACTGGAGAAAACTTGTAGAAGAGCACGTCGTCCCTGATTTTGGACAGGACTTCCAGAGCTTCGTTGTAATTCTCATGCTGGCAGTAATGGGCTATCACCCGTTCGTAGTCGTGCATTATGACGGCAAAGTACACCATGTGTTCCGTGTCGCCGTGGCTCGCCAGCAGCTCGTGAATGGTTGCTCGGTTGTTGAACAGGCAGTCTTTGTTTTTGGGGCTGCCCAGGAAGCTGCGGAACTTGTCCCGGGTCTTCTCGTAGAGGTCCCGTTTGGATGCGTCTGCTTCCAGGACTCCTAGGCGGTTTAAGTACAGCTCCGTCAGCCACGTGGTCAGCAGGGTTGTCTGAGTCTTTTCCGAAGGCTTCAAGCTAGCCAGTTTCTTAATCAGAAACTCCATCAGCGCCTCTTCCTGCTTGGCTTCGATAAATTTAAGCGCAATCTCCTCAAAGTAATTTTGAGTCAATGCGTAACACTTTGCACTATCCAGGTATCTCTTGTTCTGGAAGCAATATTCAGCCTCCTTGGCCAGCACGATATCCAAGCACTCGGGGCGGTCCTTGCAGTACTCTTTAGCCAGATCAAACTTGTTGATGTTCGTATACATCTTCCACACGTCACGGGACTCTCGCTGCACATTGTATCGAAACACGGCCTTTTCTGTGTGGATCCAGATTTGCCCAAACGCGGGGTCTTTGATCATACGCTTCAGCGAGCCAAACTTTTCCAAGAACACATCCTGGAAGACAACTTGCCCATTCAGGGTACACACAGCCTTCACTCTGTCGGGAAACAGCAGCAGAAAATGAAACTGCGTGAGCACTATATTCATGGGCTTGTTGGCTACCGCATCTACATCAGATGGATATTCCCAGACCTGCTCATCGCTAAGAATAGAGTCGGGACGTCCGTAGTCCAGCGATCCGTACAGGACACCGTTGCCCATCATCCAAGCAAAAGCACTGGGGGTGGAGCGAAGCTTAGGAGTATAAAATGCAATTTCGCTGTAGCCAAGGCTAGCTGGAAACTCGCGGAAGCCGGGCAGGTGATCTGCGGGCATGCTAAATATTGCTCCAAAGGCTTGCTGTTCAGATCCCTCTGGAATCTTGCCCACAAACTGGAAAAGCCTCTTGCGAGTAGTAGCAATGATAAAGCACTTCCCATCGATTCCTCGTTCTATCTCGAGGCAGCAGACTGGGGCAGGTCCTGCCTCCTCTTCTAGGTTATAGATCTGGCGGAAATACTGGTCAGGGTTAGTGCCGAAGAGACTGCCTTCACTGACAGAGACCTCAGCCTCGTATATCTGGCCTTGGGATGTTCCCACCAAAATGGGGCCCGTGTTCATCTCCGAGCCAAGGAACTTGTTCCAGCCCACACTTTCAATCAAATGACCTTTCCAGCGTGACAGGATCCGCACCTTCTGAGCACTTCGGTTCAAATAGAGACACTCACTGGTGTTCAGGGCAATGATAAGGTGAGAACCTGTAGTAAAAAAGGGGCACAGCAACAAAGATGAAAACAGAGGATCATAGCAAAATTCCTCTCCTTAGACACATCTTCTGATGCCTAAAGTTTTCAGAAGGTTCTAGAAATAAATTTGACAAGCACAAAATATTCATCTCCCCTCCTCCACATCATATTTGTCATATCATTAAATACCTAGCATAACAGTATAACATATCACTTCATACACATTTAGACAGGAAGGCCATTAAAAATCCTGATTATTCTTCAGGAATCTCCTACTTGCCTTCATTGTTTCTATCCAAATGAGAACACTCATAATTATGCATAAATGTGACTTAGAATTTGGCTTCTTTTGGTGTCAGTAGATGTCAAATTTGCTACAAATTTGAATATTTTTTAAAACCCTTATTAAGATATCAGCTAACACATTACCTTATTTCAGTTAACAGAAACATTCCCAGCTTCACTCAAAGATCAGTTTATCTTGAGAAGACAGAAAGCATACAAGCTGCAGTGCTCCTGTGATAAATCTTAAGATAACGACTTTTGGACATCCAAGTCTGAATATCATCACTGTGCTATGACCACATTTAATTGGCAAAAAGTGTACTGAAGGAATACCCTTACAGGATGGTCTGACCAAAACTATAGGTAAAAGAAGAAAGAATAACAGAGGCTACTGCAAATGTGTGTTTTCACATGAATGTGCACTTTACAAAAAATTCCTTAAGGGAGAAAAATATATTTTGTTAATACTGTATATGGAGTGAACTAGGGATGGCTTTTCTAGACAGAAACATTCATATTGCATGCAAAAAACAAACAAACTCCGTAACATAATGTTTGTGGCATTTACTGAAGATGCCAGAGCACTTTGCAGCTCCTCTTCTTGCCTCACCTGTGTGGTCCAAAAAGAGCTTGTGAACTCTGGCTTCATCCTTTCGTCCCAGCTCTACCTGGTTAGGCTCATCTGCCTTGGCCAGGTCAAGCCTACATAAAAGGGGAAAGAAAGCAAATGGTTGAAAATTAGGGGGTGGGATTGGGTGGGACTAGCAGAAACTTTGCTGCTTGGCAGAATTATCATTCAGGCTGGGATTTGGGACTGGAACAGCCTCAGTTGCCATGACTGATGTTCTGTTCCTGATGTCCTCATCTAGATGTTAATTATGCTGGAACTCTCAACAGCTTTTAATATCATCAACCATGGTATATTATGAGACTGCCTCTATGAGATGGGAGCATTGCGCTATTGTGGTTCTCTTCCTACCTACAGCATTAGTTCCAGATGGGTAACTTCTGCTCTGTCCTGTTGCCATTACTCTGTGAGGTACTGCAGGGTTCTGTGCTGTCCTCCATGCTATCTAACATCTATATAAAGTTGCTGGGAAAGGTCAGCAAATATTTGAGAGTTAGGTGTCATCGGTATGCTGACAACACTCAGATCTTTTTCTCCAAGTCACTTGAGTCAGGTGAAGGGGCCGGGCCACTGTCTGGTCAACATAATGGGCTCAATGAGGGCTAGTTAAATAAAACTGAATCCCAGTAAGTCACAGATTGTGTAAAGTAGTGGGTCCAGACCCGGAGGTTGTCATATGAGGACCTTTGCCATGTGCCTCCATGGTGACAAGAAAAAGGACCTTCACAGTTATGGACCCTATTTTGTGGAATGTGGAAAGTCCACCAAATACAGACATTCACATCATTTTGGCACTAGATAAAGACTCTCCTCTTCAACCAGACACCTGACTGTTAACATCCTTAGGTTTTGCTGGACATTTAAGGGATTTACTTTGTGCCGATTATGATACATGTATTTTCCTTGGGGATGTGTGGGTCGCTTTAAAATTGTACTGACACAGTTGTGGGTTGACTTTATCTCTGCTTTCAATTCATGTATATTTTTATAGTTTGTAATTTTATGTTGGGATTATTTTTTTAGTAGAAAGCGTCTAATAAATTGATTAATAATAGGAGGGAGGAATTCAGCATCATGTTCTTCTTTCATCCTTCCCACACCCTATGAAATTTCAAACAGGATAACAAAAGACTGCACATACCTAAAAATGATGTCTTTCCCAAGACTCATACACAGCTGGTTTGAAGAGACAACCAGGCTATTAATCTTTTCAGGGGGGTTGAAATCAATCCGCTGTTTGTTAAAAATTGGGGTCTCTTTTTCTAGGCGAGCATTCACATACCCTTAAAAAAGAAGGAAACAGTTAGGTTTTAAAAAATTGAAATCAAACTGCAGCACAATCTTGTGTATAAACCCTCAACTGCCATGCACTTACTAGACATGGAAAAGTGATCCAATTACATACACTGCATTTACTGAAAACAGTTAACTGTCCTTTGTGCCAAATAAAATAAAAAGAAACATTAATTTATTCCTGTTGAGGCATGGGCAGAGTGCCCACCCTCATGCCCACAGAGTGTGCCAAAAGAACAGAAAAACACCAAAGAGCTCTAGGAAGAGTCAGTTGCTTTATATAAGCCATGAATAAACCAGAAAAGAAGGACCAGCACACAAGTAATAATGCAAGCAAGTTTGCAAAATGTATGCACTGCAAATAAAATTCAACATCATGCGAGGGGTGCTTCTAGGACTATGGTGAAACTGTGAAGCCCCCTTGATATTTTTACAGCTGGGTGCTGCATGTTATTTAAGTAATCTTGATATATTTATTGTATTGGAATATGGTTGTTTGATGTGTTATTTTAATTGCTTTTTTGCTGTATTATGAAATGGTTGCTTTGTTAATATGAAATTGTTTTTGTAGTGTGTGTTTGAAATGCATCCATTTATTTGTTGTAAGCCACTTTGAGCATGGTTGGGGTTTTTTTGGCAAAGTGGCATGCAAGTAAAATGAATGAGTGAATAAAAAAATGCATGCAAAAGCAGACTGTGGAGTAGGTTAAACAAAGACTACTATAAGAATCTCAGTGTTAAAAGATATTAATCTGGAAATATTGAGAATAAAGATACAACTTGTTTCCAAGCAGACATGCACAGCATTGTGCTGTAACATTATAATCTCTCATTCAATCTACAGCTACCATACATAAAAGATGATGACTCAAAGTGGAAATGAATCTAATGTGCTTTCCAAAATATATATCCCTTTCCTTTTGGTTCACTTTCCATTTTAAAAGTGTTCCGTTAAATGCAGGAAGTTACAACACACACGCTAATGACAGCTGCAAACAATTTCACTGAACACACTTAACCACATTTGTTAGGGCTTTCATCTCACTAGTGACCGCAAACGTTAGTTGACAGTAAATCGCACTGGCCAGTACAGAAAGATGCAGAATCTTCATTCATACAAATATTCAAGGATGTTATTTTACTACACAGATACACAGCCTTCTGTTTGGGAAACTTAAAAATGTGTAGTTTCAAGAACTTTTGAAACCTTCCCAAGATAAATATGTCTCTTTTCAAGATCAAGGAGAAAAGCACAGTTTTCCACTGAACTGGAAAATAGTGTGACATCCTCATAGAACAACACATAAATGGAGCCATTTTTTATCATCCACAAACAGATAGTATCAGAGCTTTTGGACCACATCTGTCCTTCAAAGACACCCATTTTTCCTAGGCTCACATTCATTGCAAGTCTGCAGAACAGTAGAAACCCCTTTAAACAAGATCTGCTAACAAGATCTGCCCATATTACCTCAGGGTGGATGACAAAAATGGGATGAGCAGTTGTGGGTCCCTTCCCAAGTTAATTAATATCAGATTCACTGGAAGCAAATGTAGGGGTGGAGAACCCTGATGCCAAAGGAATTTATATAAGCGGCAATACAAGCCTGGGAAAATGTTCACAAGTAACATGTACTTGGAAGAACTGACATGGACTAAAGCAAATGTTCCAGATCATCTGGCTTCATTCTTTGCAACATTGACCTATGCTGTTCCACTTGCCTCAGTTCTTCCCAAGGAGTTCCTTACTATATTCTGGAATGGGAAAGTTCCATTAGCACTGAACTGAAACACAGAAAGGCACTATGGCAGCTGTCTTCCATATTTTGACCCTGCTTTAAGGTTACCCTCAAATCACAACCTGTGTTAAAATAGGACGGCATCTAGATAACCGCAGATTCTGTTTGCTTTTCATTCAAATGGGAGTGACACGAAAAATAAAAAGTGTATGACAGAGTATAACAAGAGGTCAGCTGTGGGCTCCTTTTTTCAACTATCATTTCTGTTCTGTTGAGACTATCTGTAGCATCTGAAGGACCATCTCTTCCCCCACAGATCTACCTGTGGGTTGCAACCAGCACAGAAGACTGTTGTACATCCTAGCACACAGTGACACAGGACTGAATTTCTACTCCAGTAGCATCTTCTAGACTATGAAATTCCAGATATAAACAACTTCAAATGCCTTCTGACAGCAAGAGTAGGCCGTTCATGGTACTGCTTAGTGATTACTTCTGCTGCTTCATTTTTGTGTGGTGGCACACAAACATGGTTATTTCAAAGTTCTAATCATGTTTTAGATTTGCCCTAAACCTCTCTGACACCCCTCCTCAGGTAGGAGAGTGGGATCTAAACATTTTGAAGAGATAAATCGCCTCCGTTGTGAACTGAGAAAGAAGCAGAAGCAGTGGGGTTTTGATCTGAGAGTAACAAACAGGAGGGAAGACAACAAAACGTTTTGCCACACCGGCGAGGGATCCAGAAGAATTAGAATTCTGATCGCTCAACAGAGCCTATGGCTGCTTACTCGGGAAAGAGCGGCCTTAAAAGCGAAGGGCGCATGGGTGGATCCAGTATTTTTGTTGGTGGTTGTTGTTTTTTTTGCAGGCCTTTTGTTGGGGGGGGGGGGAGAGGCAGAACCACAGTTTGCTATGCATTTTTATTTATTTTTGAGGGGAAGGCAGCTGCCCCTCCCTGCCCCCCCCTTGGCTACGCCCATGGAAGGGGGCATGGGGAAAATGTGCATTCAACTCCTAGCAGAGAGGAGGAGGCAGAAAGAGCCGAAATACACGCTGCTTGAAAGAAGAGACTCAAGTGCACTAATGAATGGATTCTGCTTCCCGTCCTCCTACCCGTGTGCGGGATGCCCAGGCTGGCGCGGTTCTGCTGCGAGGAAGCCGAGTGCGAAAGCGAGTCCACGTACTGGTCCAGAATGGAAGCCATGGCTGCTCCGGCCCAGCCTGCCCGGACAGCTCTTCCAAGCCGCCGCCGCCGCCGCGCAGCACCTCCTTGGCTCCGGCCCCCAGAGACCGCCAAGAGGCTCGGCTCGGCCCTCTCCCTCCCTCTCTCTCCCACCACCGCCTCCTCCTGCTCCGATCAGCTGACGAGACCCACGAGCGCAGGCTGCACTTCCTGTTTCCGGGTCGAAATCCCGACCATAGAGAAGGGAGCGCAGGCAAGAGAGTTCAGTGGGCAGCTTCTCTTGCGTCGCCCGACTCTCTAGGCACAGGAGGGGAGGGCTTAGGACAGTTGGGTGTTTTTAGAAAGAGTAATAAATTCAGAAAAATATGACATGTTCTCCCTATGCATGAGGGCCTGAGTTAGACGCGGAGTGAACGTTTAGCTTTACTACTATTGTTATTATTATCAATTAAATTTCTGTACTACCCTTCATCACAGGGTAGTTTTGCAATATAAAAAACATAACAAGGGCTGGCAGGAGGTTATTAAATCGCGGTAATGTGTTTCTAGGCGCACAAACTTGGACCTTTTGGCAATCGTTCGGTGGATTTTTAAAATGTATTTATTTAAACACACACACACACACACACATATATATATCACTTAACTACAATAGTCTCTTGTGTGGTTTACAAAGATGCAGTACAAAAAATAAAAATCAGTTAAACTGTGCAATCGAATTTGAAAAGTTCTGCAATACTGAACACACAGCACTTGGTTGATGCAAGCTGTGCATCAGAGCCACAGGGACCGCTAACACTGGCTCCCTGAAGACGTCAGTGATCAGGCATGAATACAAGGGAGTGGACGTCCTTGAAGTATGCTGGAGCCAAATTGTTAAGCGCCTTGTAAATGCATACAAGAACCTTGAACTGGTAGTGTGTGGGCAGTCAGTGCAGACCCCTGAGCTCTGGAGTAATGTGCTGGTGTTTGTCTGCAGTGTTTTCCATCATCTGGAGACTCTGGATCAGGCCCAAGTGTAGCCCCACATAGAGCACATTGCTGTAATTGAGTCTTGAGGTTACCAATGCATGACCACCCCTCTCAAAGAATAGCTATTGTTGATGTACCAGATGTTGCTGGTACTGTAATAGGCACTCCTAACCCCTGAGGCCACCTGAGTTTTAAGGGACAAAGATGGATCCAGGAGCACCCTCAGACTCCAAGCCTGTACTTGAGGGAGTGCACCCCACCCAGAACAGGGAGCTAGCCAATTTCCCGGACATAGGAACTACCAACCTACAGTGCTTCCATCTTTCTAGGGTATTGGCGCTCATCCAGTCCACCATAAATGTCTACTCAGAGACAAGCCCTGCTGAGCTCAGCTGAACTTGTTTCAATCCTATATCCACTTACCTGGGACTAAACTTTAGTTAAATCAATTCATTGAAATGAATTCATTGAATTTCTGGATACATGTGTAGGATTATGTTGTTTACATTGGTAGAAGGAGCTAGGGAACATCCTTCTGGTTTCTTTTAAAAACTTTTTATCAAATAAGAAGGCCCAGTACTAAACTCCTTTTAAAAGCCTATTTGTAACATTATTTTTTTCCCATGGACTGAAATTAGCCGCTGGGGGAAGTCGGTACTTGAAAGCCCAGCTGGCTCCAGTGCTCCCAAGAGGGGCTTGAGAACAAGACAAGTAAGCTGGTACTAAGCGCCTGAGGGGAGAAAGAAGCAGCTCTTTCCACAGGGTGATTAAAATGCTTTACTGTATCTTCTTTCATACTCACAGAGCACAGCGTATGAACAGCTTTGTCTGTGGCACATCTGTAGATGAATAATATGTTCAGCATCACTCTGAGCTGGAAGAAGACATTTTGCTGCCTGAGACAGTGCAGCAGCTGCCCCACCCCTCCAGTTTTGACTCCTGATATCCCACAAGTGTGGCTTCCCCTTCCCTGGCAGTAGGGGGGGGAAATGCTAACAGTTTGCTGCTCCAAAATCAGTTGCCTCACTGTCAGCCGGTGCTTCAAACGGAGGTGCTGTGGGTGAGGAAATCAACTGATCTGGATGGAGTGATCTGGTGTTGGACCCACACACCCATCCAAAGCACCAAATTGTTGGCTGGGGATCCTTCTGGAATTGGAGCTGCCTGGAAGCCCACATGGGGGCAGATAAGAGTGCTTTCCCCCCAACCTCAGTTAGCGTGACAGCTACAATCCTATCTTGGGAAAACAGACCTAGCCTCAGTCATGGATGTGGTAGCTGCATCCATGCTGGCCTACTGTAATGCACTCTTAGTGGGGCGGACTTTGAAGACTACTCAGCAACATCAGCTCATACAAAATAGGGCTGCTTGAGCCCTTCTTGGGGCGAGACGGTTCAACCACACCACACAGCTCCTATATCAGTTGCACTAGTTGCCAGTGTGTTTCCAGGGCCAATTCAAAGTGCTGGTTCTGACATTTAAGTCCATAAATAGTTTGAGTCCAGATTATTAAAATGGACTTTGGAAGCCTAACTTGTGTGTCAACCTTTAAGATCAATTTAGACTTGTGGCTACTAGAGGTAGGGTCTTCTCGGTGGTGGTGCTGTCAGTTTGTATTTCTTAGTGAGAAAGTCTTGATCTGATGTGTAGAGATCTTTCCTCTTCTAATTAATTCAAGAGGGTTCTGGAAGCTTCTCTGTGTGAAAGAAACAAGTAGAAGGTTCATGATGTTTGGGTTATTCCTTCAGAGAAGCTGAGTGCAGCTGATTGGTTCTGCCTTCTTTTCAGTCACGTTGACCATAAAAGTAAGGCCAGAAGGAGCCTGGTTTCACATTCTCTTTCTATCTTTTTCCTTCTGGTGTGGTGTTCTGTACATAGTATGCTTAGTGTTAAGGTTTAGACTTATTATAAGTTATTGTAAGTTTCAGTTAAGTCTGCTGCAACTGGACTTCTTATGGACAGTGCCAATCCTGAACGTATTGGATTTGTGACCATTGTGCTAATTTGCCTTCAGTAGCAGTAAAGCTCTGCTGGATGGAATATTAATTGCCTCTGGTCTATTTTTTGGGAATCCTGCAACATGTTTAAGTTTTTACTCTGCTAACTATACATCAGAGTTCTACTGTGGATCAATATTGAGTAGAATTCCATGACAGGTGCCCACTTTATGGAATTTCCTTCCAATAAATATGGCTGCCTCCTTCATTTTCAGGTTTTTGGGGAAGTTTTTAAAAGTCCTGTTTTCCCTGGCTTTTAGTTGAAGGTTTTACTGTATATGCCACTGGAAGACATTTATGGCATTTTAAAATGTATTATGCACAGTGTTGGTCATTTTTATTCATTGTTGTATGATATTTTGTGTATTGTCCTGTTCTTACATATGTTGTACTCCACCCTGATTTACTTCTTGATCAAAGGTAGCACAAAACATTTTAAATAAATAAATGTTGTCGCTCATAGCTGGGCTGATAAAATGTTATAAACTTAAGCTTGTTGCAGATCACATAATATTGTTTCCACCTCAAAGAGATACCACGGATTAAGGCTGCAATGCACTTATCTGGGATTAATCATTGTTTAAGGTAGTGGGGCACATTTCTGAGGAGACATGCATAAGAAGTCTTCGTTCCTCTGATGAAATGGGCTTGTGTAGTCTTAGAAGCAAGTCCCACTGTGTTAAATGGGGTTTACATGTTTGTGAATGTCACTGGATTCAGCATAGCTGGTTTTGTCCACTAGGTGGCAACAAAGATTTATATTCTAAAAGACACATCTGAAAAGTATCAAGCAAAAAAAGACAACTCAAACAAATACCTGTTTGGTGGGTAAATGCTGGCCTACATCTGAATCAAGCCAAGGCAATCAGACTAATATGTGTTGTTGTTTTTTCCGGAGCATTAAAAAAAACAACCCTGTTGGTTTAATTCAATAAGCAACTTGTAAAGATCTAAGTAGCCAATATTTTGAGAACGCTGAAGAGTGATGTAGAGGTTATTCCTTCTGCACATTTCAAGTGTAATTCTGTTCAGTGTTGCTTTATTTGCATAGCAGGCAATCTAAATAATGACAGAATATAAGAGCAGGCTATACACCAAGGATCTTTATAAAGCCTCAGAGTTTGAATCCATTGCGCTCCCTTTGCAGGGGGAGGAATCCCTGCCCATGAGCCCCCCTGGAGGATTGATTTTGTTGGTGAGCACAAGAGATAGGGTCTTTTTTGTGGTGGTCCCCAGATTGTGGAATTTACATAGGACCTCAAGGCCGCAGACTTCTTTAAATAAATAAATAAATAAATGGCATTCACATTCTCTAGTTAAAAGTGTGACAATGGGCTTTGGGAATAGTAACCGACCTTGGATCAGCCAGCAAATTGGCAAATATTCCCTTTTAACAGAACCACAACAACATCCATTTTGTTAACAGTCATAACTCTAGCATAGAGTTTTTACAAAGTTTCACGCTATTTACTGTTCCGTACAGTGGGTCGTTACATTTTAATCTTGGGCCTTTCTCATCATGTCCATCAAGATCATATTTTAAGCAGCGATGCTGCAAATTTATTTCACTGTCAAAATTAGGGAGTTGGCTTTCCCCCGACTGGACTGAGATGAGCTGTCAAAAGTGACGCTTGGTGAATCAGCTTTAGCTGGCTCTCTCACTAATTAGATAATAATTAAGCAGGTGATTGGCAAGGCAGGTGTACAGCTCATCTCCAGAAAGATCTATCTTGGTTTCACCAGATCCCTTTTACTTTACTGCCTCTATAGTCACATCTGCAGGGATCCTGATCTTTCTCCACACACCTTTCATTCTTTATCAGTGTGTGGGACACAGGATGCAAGCTGTGTTCCCTAATTTGGAAGTTAGTTCCATTGGGTTGGATCCAAACTAGCTTTCAGTGGGAACAAAGTGCAGCTAACTTAGTCTGGATCCAAACCACTGATTCCAAGTAAGCTGGCTTCTACTTCAAGCATAGGGTGTGGCAGAGCAAACCATTTAAGGAGCTGTGACTCTTCAGGAGCCACACACTGATTCTGAAGCATGTCAACACTTCTGTTGACTTCAGCCAGATCACTTTGAGACCCACCATTCACTGAGAACTTAGGGAATGGAGCCTTGTTCCAGTGTCTGTCTGTCTGTCTGACAGGTTAGGCTAGCTGGGACCTGTGCTAAGATATCCTCAATTGCAGCACTAAGTTTCAGTCTCCAAGGAGGCCTACTTGAAGACCATCTTTATATTATTCCTTTGTGTGACAAATGAAAAACAAATTTAATTTGAAATAGGAGATACAATGTATCGTGGTGGCAGCTGTGGCTTTTGTATTGGATGGTTGAGGTAAAGCATTTTTAAAAAACACAACCACCACCTAAACACACAATTAATTATCCAGTAGAAAGGTCAGTCAGGGGGGCCTTGTCTGCAGGCCCACCATCAAGGTCTTTTCAGTGGTGGCCCCATATCTCTAGAGCTCCTTCCCAAAGGAGGTACATCTGGCTCCTTCCTCTCACAAAGCTACAATTCCTAGACTTCCCTCTAAAGAGGGATTGATTGTTAAACCACTCTGGTAATTGTAGCTCTGTGAAGGGAATATGAGCAAACAACTCTTCAGTTTCCTGAAGTCTTTGAGGGAAACCATGACGGTTTAAAGTGGTATCATAACACTTTAAATGTACGGTGTAAATGTGGCCTGGACCTGCCTGCCTTCCCCTCCTCTCACACACAGTGTGGCAATCTCTTTCCCTGAAACAAGAATAACAAGCAGCTTGGAATCCTTACCCCCCAGATGCCCCTCTGAGTGATGTCGCAAGACATAGTGGGGACAAGGGCAGCCCTCAGGCTCAGCTGAAGCCAGTTCTCATTTGCCTTCCATTTCCCCACAACTGACTTCATTATATCCACCTCCATTCTTTACCAGTACACTCTGCAAGGTCAATTCAACAGGGCAGCATCGTTCTGCTTAACAAGCAATAAACCTTTATGTCTTATCAAGGATTTATGTTTATGCTGAACAGTGGGGAAATTCCCCGTTATGACTGCAAGCTTCTTCCTTTTGTTTCTCTTCTTTGGTTTATCTTCCTTGCAGACCTTGTAAGTAACTCAGCACAAGACACTTTCCTGCTCCTCCTTCCCTTTAGTTTGTGTGCCTCCAGAGTCGCAAAAGCCACAAACATTCTCTTCCCATGCATTTTGTAGCTGTTTGGCTCCAGTGTTCCTAAAACAATACCTTTTCTCAGGTTCCATATATATGTATGTGAGGCCAGTGTGGTGTTGTGGTTTGAGAACTGAACTAGGACTCAGGAGAGCAGGGTTCAAATTCCCACTTAGCCATGAAGCTCACTGGGTGACGCTGGGCCAGTCACAATTTCTCAGCCTAACCTACCTCACAGGGTTGTTGTGAAGATAACATAGGGAAGAACAATGTGCACCATCTTGAGCTCCTTGGAGGAAAGGCGGGATAGAAATGTCATAGTTAACTAAATAACTATGTTCACAATCTGCCAGCAGAGGAGACTGCTTCATGCATCTGACAAAATCCATGAAAGCTTATGCCACCATTAGATTGGTCACACCAGTTAGCCTCCACAGTTGCTGTGGAATTAACTAGAAGAGGGTTTTTTAATTGCTACCTTAAATATGTCTTTACTGCTATTGATCAAAAGATTCCAATATGTGTACAAAACTGTGAATAAAAGTCTGAATAAAATGTTTTAAAGCCCAGTCCTGTGCATGTTTACTCAGAAGGAAATTCCACAGAATTCAGTGGGACTTGCAAAGGTGCACAGGAGGATCAAAGTCTTAGGTCACAGCCACACCATGCACTAAAAGTGCATTGAAAACACATGGCTTCACCCAAAAAATGCTGGGAACTGTAGTTTTCGCCCTCAAAGAGCTACAGTGCCTAGGACCCTTAACAAATCACAATTCCAAAGGTTCTTTGTAGGAAGTCATTTGCTTTAAATGTGTGGCATGGATGTGACCTTAGTTTCCAAAGCTATCAGCTGTACACCTTTCCTGAGCAAGGATATGCTCTGGTTGTAAAAACAAAACTCTTAGCCGAAGTCAGGTCCCATTGTTTGAAAAGCTTTTTACTTTTTTTTTAGTTGAAGTGAAACTGCACCTGTAATTTTTAGATGCTGGGAGCCAGATAACGCCTGAGAAAGAAACCTGTGGGAGCAGGGTTGTTTGTTTCTAATAAATTAATTGCTCAGATTAAAGATCATTGAGACACTGCACAATTCCCACAGAGGTGAAGAAGTCATTCTAGGCAATCGTTGTCAGAAACATATAACTAAGGCAGAAAGCAGGAGTCTGCCAGCAAAATGAAGAGTGATTATTTCAAGAGGTACGTGAGTGAAGACTCAAGCAGCCACTCTCAGGCAGCTGGCCAGAAGTCACAGAGTGATGCAGGAAGCTGGGTTGTGCCAATGGTGGCAAGAAGGGCTCAATGCTGCAGAAGTGGCTAAATCAGAAATGGCCAATATGGAGTTCTCGGACTGCAATTCCCACCATCCCTGACCAATGGCTGGGCTGACTGGGCTGACTGGGGCTGATGGGAGTTGGAGTCCAGCAACATCTGGAGGGATATCCCTGGGGCAAATGTATAGCAGGGTCAGCAGGGCCTGGCATCCTTGAGCACTGATGATACCTGCCCCAGGGACCAACTTATAGTCGTCGTTTTTTTCCTGTCTGGCACTCTAAGCCGCTCCAAGTGGCTGGGTCTAGACACCCTTTTAAATTAACAGGGTAGCTCAACCCAGCCACCCTACAGGCCTCTTGAGTGTTGCCAACCACAGTCAGATAAGCCTACCGTGGCCCAGATGACAGATCAGTGGTGACAACAGAGGAGACTCTGTCCAGTCTGGAGCTGGCTCTGCTTCTAGGGAAAGTTTAGTTCCAAATGACAATATTAATATGATCTGTGAGAACAGGATGCTACACTAGATGAGCCATTGGGCTGATCCAGCAGGCTCCATTTATGTTCCTATAGCTCCCTCCCTCTTGCAGGGGATGTGGATCAGGCATTGTTGCTAGCCATCTGGGTGGTATCTCCTTGCTGGCAAGATGGCTTAGTACATTTGCAGTATAAACAGGTGGGGAACCCAGAGCTGGACTGAATGGACTGGATAGCTCAGTTGGTTAGAGAATGGTGCTGACAATGCCACAGTTGCAGGTTCGATCCCCATCACTACTTTCCTATAGAAGTAAGAGGCCTAAGAATTTTATTCTTAGTTATTCGAGTTAGCAGCTGCATTGCTGAGTGGGTTGAACTAGATAATACTTAGGGTCCCGTCCAACTCTGCAATTCTATGATTCTATGTATTGCCTGGTATTGATTAGCTGTGTCTTGCATGGATTCCATGCCAATAAGCCCTGAGCTTGGAGGAAGAGGATGTGCTAAGAGGTAGCATGCACAGATCAAATTTTGTTGCAATATCCTTAGTGAAAGCTACCACAACCATTGTTCTGAAGAAGGGTGAGGGGTGAGGGTGAGAATTAGCTTTCTCAAGGAGCACTACGGGATGGGTGTGTTCATCTCTCACTTTCCTAATCCTTGCCTGCCAAGTTCATTGCAATGACTGCATTTGATGCACCAGTGATTGTGTCACTGGGAACACTAATGTCAACACACAGGAATAAGTCACTTACAGCCTGTGCACTCAGAGGTAATAGAGTTCAGTGGGACTTACTCCCAAATATGTATAATATTAAAGCTTCAGAGCTCTATTTTTAAATCCATTGTCTTTCAGTAACATGCTGCCTCTTCCACTAATGATGATGCTGGTTTTTGTGAATGCAGCTTGTCACAGGGCTCCCAGCAACAAATGCAAAAGGAAGAGACCACCTGGGTTTCCTCCAGGAAAATATGCATGAAATGAGCCCAAGATTTCACCTCTTCCAGAAAGTCAGACCTGTTTGCTTGCCATGCTGCCTTTGCAGGATATAGGAGAGCTCACAGCTCCCCTTCGTTTGCTTTAGGTTGCTACGCTCTGCTTGTTGACCAAAGCCACCACTCCTGATCCTCTTTAGAAATCCCCGGCATAAATCAATAGCTGTTTCTGTTTGGGCCAAGAGGGTGAAGGGGTTCTGAAACGCAATCATCTCACTTGCCTCCCCGCCTCACTACCTCTGGAAACACCCTTTTGAAAGACTGCTCAGCTCGGTGAGAAAAAGAATCGTTTGCATCTGCCAGGACCTTGACTCCACTGTTATAGCAAATGAATCTCAAGGGGTGTCCAGAGCATTGTGTGGTCCTGTTTTTTGGATAAGTTTCAGTTAGTAAGGCGCAGGGAGGTGGACTCTTGGCTGCTAAATCTAGCAGGGAGGGGATTAAAGCCTCCTTGCAAGAGGGGGTGGTCCCTGGTTGTACCTGGTTCTCCCTCTCCCTGTTTTATCCTCACAACAACCCTGTGAGGGAGGGAGGGCTAAGAGTCCATTAGAGACGTTACCCAGTGAGCTTCATGGCTGAGTGCGAGCCAGATGCCCATGGGAAGCCTGTAAACAGAATCTGACCACAACAGCACTGCTTCAGACAGTGGAGGTAGAAGCCACAATAGCAAAACTGTTTCACCTGTTTGTTTGTTTGTTTGTTTGTTTGTTTGTCTGTTGTGCGAGACGGCGCTTCACCCCACCTTACCCTCATGTGTCAGTCAGTCCAGCAGTTTGCCACAAACAGCACCTTCAGTAAGTGCTAGGAAGAGGAGGAAAGGCGGCTGGGAGTTTGGAGTTTGCTCAAGCACCTATAAGGCAGCATCAGGTTACCGGGAAAGTGGGTGGGCCCATGCAAATCACAGCTGCTCTGGGTGGCTTAAAGAATTTTTAAAAAAACCATTACAGGTCTCGGGAGTTAAATGCAAAGTGAAAAGGTGGAGTCCTCGGCCCGGGTGCAACTCTCTTTTGCTCCAGACCCAAGACACCTGAAGGGATGCAGTCCCAGAAAATGAGATACTACCACTGCGCGTGGGAACAGAGTGACTGACCCACGTTTGGCTCTCACTTCTTCCTGCTTGCCAGTTGTGGTGTTTTTAAGCCCAGAAGAACTAACTATCCAATCGCAACATTTTTTGTTTCAAAAGAGGGACGCCAAGTGTCCCCTTTCTCGCTCCTCCAGCGATGCCCCCCCAGGAGCTACTGGATTATTCGCCCACCTTGAGAAGATGCAGCACCCCCAGCAGAGGCAGCGGCTCCGAGCTGGGCATCAAGTGTGTCCTCATAGGAGACGGGGCAGTCGGCAAGACCAGCCTCATTGTCAGCTACACAACCAACGGATACCCAGACCAGTACCAGCCCACGGCGCTGGACACCTTCTCAGGTAAGCAGAGCGGAACCTGGGCAGCTCCTTCCTTCCTGATATGTGTTGGGGTACATGTTGCCACAATGGGGTACATGGTGGTCTGTTGTCATTTTGGCACTCTGCGTTCTTGACTAATTGCCACAAGACCTTTCGCAGTGACAAGTGGGATACAAAGTTCATAATTAATAGATCAATGGCATGTGTGACAATTGAGATATATTGAGATGTATATTATTGAGATATATATCGAGATACATATTATTAAACTGCTGGCTTAAATGACTGTTTTATTAGAATAGGATGTTGTAATTTAATATTGTTTGCAATGTAAGAAGTCTGAGTCGGGATTAAAAAATATATACATACATATTAAGAAGCAATTAAGTAAGCTGCAAAGGATTGCTTTTTTCTCTCCCCCCCCCCATGCCTTTAACAGTAGCATGGGAGGCAGAAATTCACCAGGTGAAGCTATCTCCAGCAGGCAGATGCACAGACAGGGAAAACTTTGCCTACTGAATATCTCCTTTCAAATGGGAGTTTTGCCAGAAGAAAATGAGGGGGAGGCCTACATGTGTTCTCTGTTCCAAGCAAAGACTTTTGGATCTTCTCTTCTTGGGTGTAATTGGAGTTTTTAGTGGAGGGGCTGCAGCTGCAAACAACCAGCCTTCTGAGCCCAGTATCATATCATATCAAGCCAGTTGCAGCAATCGGATGGTGTTCATCTGTAAAGGAAATAGATTGGGAAGCAATTTAACCTGATCCCTTACAAAACTTCATTGGCACCACAACCCCAATGCATGTCTGCTCTGAGAAGTTAAGTGGCACTTCCTCCCAGAAAAGCTGCTTTCCTATAAATGCTTAGTACAGTGGCCTTCTTTGCCTGTTGCTTTAAGCCACAGTTAAACTTAGCTATGCGCTGGTGCAGGCGAGGTTGGGGGAAAGGGAAGGAATTACAGTGGTACCTCAGGTTAAGAACTTAATTCATTCTGGAGGTCCGTTCTTAACCTGAAACTGTTCTTAACCTGAGGTACCACTTTAGGTACCATGTGGGTGGCGCTGTGGGTTAAACCACAGAGCCTAGGTAGGGCTTGCTGATCAGAAGGTCGCCGGTTTGAATCCCCGCGACGGGGTGAGCTCCCGTTGCTTGGTCCCTACTCCTGCCAACCTATTAGTTCGAAAGCACGTCAAAGTGCAAGTAGATAAATAGGTACCGCTCCAGTGGGAAGGTAAATGGCATTTCCATGCGCTGCTCTGGTTCGCCAGAAGCGGCTTAGTCATGCTGGCCACATGACCCGGAAGCTGTACACCAGCTCCTTTGGCCAATAAAGTGAGATGAGCACCGCAACCCCAGAGTCGTCCGCGACTGGACCTAATAGTTAGGGGTCCCTTTACCTTTACCACTTTAGCTAATGGGGCATCCCGCTGCCGCCACCCCGCCACCCCACGATTTCTGTTCTCATCCTGAAGCAAATTTCTTAACCCAACGTACTATTTCTGGGTTAGCGGAGTCTGTAACCTAAAGTGTCTGTAACCTAAAGCGTCTGTAACCCATGGTACCACTGTACAACCACTTCATTCATTGAAGTTTGGTGGGCTTGTGGTTTGTGTCTCTACAGATAAACCATGAACTGTCACCAAGGTTTGTTCATGGTTTGGGAGAGAAAAACCCGAGCCCTGGTTTGGTTGTAAAGCTAAGCCAAACCATGGCTTAGCTCCTGGTAGCAGGGCAGCAACAAAAGCTTTACCTTTAAACTATAATTAAGCTTCCGTGTGATTTAAAGTGATGTGTGAATGAGGCCATTATTTAAAGCACCAGTAGCCATATGTATCTTACACAGTCCCACCAATATTGAATCAGTGTCAATATCTTTAAGAGGTTTTGAAAGAAAATTAAAAAGCTGTCAAGTGGACACATCTTGAACCCTTAAAAAAAAAATACAAAGGAAACAGGTTTGGTCTTCTACCCGAAACATGGGTGGCAGCACTCTCGCTTAGCTAACTGTGGAAGACTGTTCAACTGGTTTTGGGTGTTTCTAATTGGGAGAGTAAACCTCAAGAGATTGTGTTTCCAGTTCAAGCATAGGAAAAGAGGAGAGAGCAGTTGTGACATTTGAAGCTGTGTTAGTAATTCATTTATTAGGATGAAACTCCCCATAGCACGTGGGGCTGGATTGCCTTAAGCTCTGTACAGACAGGAGGTTTCCCACACTGCAGCTCATGTGATAGGGCACTGAACTGGAAATGCAGGAAGGATCATATGGAAGGTAGAAAAAGAAGTAGACATTTGGAGGGATTGCTTGCCAACTGACAGAACATGCTCTGAGTTCTGTACTTCTTAGGGAATAAGATCAGGCATGATTTTACTATGGTAGCATACATTTCCACTGGAACAGTAAAGTGGTTAGAGTGTCAGACTAGGACCTGGGAGACCAGGCTTCAAATTCCCACCCAGCCATGAAGCTCACTGGGTAACTCTGGGCCAGACACTGTCTTTCTCAGCCCAACCTACCTCACAGGGTTGTTGTGGGGATTAAATGAGGCAGGGAAGAACCATGTACACCATCCTGAGCTCCTTGGAGAAAAAAGTGGAGATCTGAATCCTGATCTCCCAGGTCCGATGCTCTAACCACTACTCCATACCACTACTCAGTATGTTTCACAGTAAAATACCAAGCATTAAACAACTTCCCTAAACAGGGCTGCCATCAGATGTCTTCCAAAACCCAGAGAATTTTTTATTTCCTTGACATCTGATGGGGTGGTGTTCCACAGGGCAGGAGTGACTACTGAGAAGTCCCTCTCCTTTGTTTCCTGTAACCTCACTTCTCGCAATGAGGGAACCGCCAGAAGGCCCTTGGAGCTGGATCTCATGACATGGGTGGAGACTCTTCTTCAGATATACAGGGTCAAAGCCATAGGTGTGAGTCGTGCACCTGGGGAACCACCAATGAGGGAAATCACCCCCTCTCCCTGCCAAAAGTCTCTGCCAGTATAATACGGGATCAGGAAGTCCCTGAGATGTTCTGGACCCAAGTTGTTAAGATACCAAGTTTGTTTGTTCTTCTATTTGGAAAGTCCAATTTCATCATTGTTATGGTCAACAGATGCATTTTCAAAAAATGGAAGTTAATATTTATTCATTTATATATTACATTTCTTTCCTGCCATTCCTCCTAAAGGGACAACAAATGCATTGGTGTTGAAACAGTGCAAAATTAAGCACCTGGGCTTATTTATTTCAAACACAATCCTCTTTCTTTCAATATTAAGAATGAATTTTAGGCTTCAAAAGGATTTCATTAGAACACTAGCTGTTGCCATGTGTGTCTAAATTATCTGGCTCCCTGTCTTTTCATCCCATTGGGGCCTGCCCTGCCCCACACTCTCTCAAGGCTCTTCAAAGGCCATTAGTCCCCGCCTCAAGAGAGTTTCTGTCAGTCTGGATGCCTTGTAAGGAGAAGGGAGCAAAAGGCACAGTGGGTGAGAACCAGGTGTGAGGACTCTCCTAGTATTGCCTGTGAATTGCATAGGCAAAGAGATTACCTGTGGAAAGAGGAGGGAGTGTTTATTGTATCTCTAATTGGGATGGAGAATTTCGGGTGCCAGGAGGCAGCTGTGTGGAATGATGGTTCCAAAGTCAAAAAGGGATTGGAACATTCTTGGGTCTTAAAAGACTGTAGCAGATTTCACACTGGAACCCTGCACAAAATGTCAACCAAACATTTTTGATGAAGTAGGCCATTGCCTTTAAGGTATCAGGGCACAATGCGTTTTCCTTGCAGCCTTCCTTAACCCATGCTGCAAAGGCTGCAATCCCATGCAGGCTAACTTGAGAGCCAGCCCTATTGAACACATTGGGATTTACTTCTGAGTAAACAGGGTGTTCTTGGACAGTGTTCTCGAAGCTACCAACATGAGTTTGACCAAACTGTGGGAGGCAGTGGAAGACAGGAGTGCCTGGCGTGCTCTGGTCCATGGGGCCACGAAGAGTCAGACACGACTAAACAACTAAACAACAACAAACAGGGAGAGGATGGGGGTTTAGAAAGAAATGGCTGCAATCCATTTACCTGAGAGTAAAGCCCATGGAATTTTATTTGTTTTTTTAATTGTACCTGAAGTCTGCTCTTCACCAAATGTTCCAGGGCAGCTTACCAACCAATCAATCAATCAATCAAATAAAAATTCAAGGATAAAACCATTGCAAATCGGAAAACGAAATCGCAAAATTCTGAAGCTCTCTTTTGAAACAGTCAGAAAATGATTTGGTATCAATTTGGTTAGGTTCCGCTAGCCCCTTTGAAAGTTTCCAAAAAGTCTGTCTCTCTATATTTTGGAAACAGTGGTAGTATATCAGCCTGCAATAAGTAGAACACATCTTGACAGATATTTGGGGCAGCTGTGGGAGTAAAGGGTGTACATCTCAAGCATGTTTTAATTGAGCTGCTTGAAGTAGGGTAAAAGGGGTGGAGCAAGTAAAGAAACTAAACCTTAGCTAAACTAGGCCCCAGTTTGAATCTCACCTCTGCTCTAATCTCACTAGATGGCACTCTCTTTTGCTTAGCCTCCTGTCTACATAATGAATGGGGTGACAAATCTATCTTACAGGATGGTTGCAAGGATTATGTATTTGAAAGACTTTGAACGCTTTAAAGTGCTGAGTAGAATTGAGGCTGACTTTTACCTTAGGATCTGGCTGTAAAACAGTTTCACCTTTTATTTTATTTCTTTCATTATTTATAAAATATTTACATACAGCTTGGAATATGCAGAAATGGTGAAACTTACCAGAAGAATAAGTAATCAAGATAAAAAAAATAAAATAAAATAAAATAATGAAAATGGTTTATTGAATATTTACACATAAATTATAAACAGATAAAAACTTTGGCAGCATTATTGTAACAACCTGCAGTTTTATAAGAGTATATATTTAAAGAAGATGAATAAATGAGTAAATTAATTTAATTTGGATATGCAGAAGATACTTTTTTTAAAAAAAATTAAGGAACCACAGAAAGAGGGGGCGGTAAGTCAAGTTTTGAAATGTCAAAATGAATGTAAAATTAATGAAATGTATACACTTGTAAAGTATAAATAAATAAATAAAATGGGAAAAAAATTATTTACACCCAGATAGTCATAAAAAAAATATCAGAGCGGTTTACAACAATTATACATGAAACCATACTATAGAAGCCATATAAAATATGTATTCTTAATTGCCTGCATAAGCCTCACTGAACAGAAAAGTTTTCAGCAGGCATTTAAAGTTGAACCTTCCCCCTACACTGCACATAGATTCCCCTAGAAAAATGAGTAGTCTAGTGCAAATAGGCTGAGAATGTCTGGAGGCGATATCTCTGTTCTTTTATTTGGGAGCATGTGTAATGTTTAGATGGCAGGCAGACTGTGACTAAGACAGCAAAGACACCAATTTCATATGTCAGCGGTCATTCCGCTGGTGGTCATTTAGTAGAATCATTCATCTTTTTTCAGGTTTCACCTGTTGCTTTTATTGTTGTGTTTTACTGAATTGATCTGTTATTTTCTGCACTGTCCTGAAATCTTAATATGGTTGAGGGGAGTATATAAATGTTCAGGGGCAAACCTAGTGGTTGGTTAGGTTGCCACCGCTGCGCCACCCCCCACCCCCGGGGTACTGGTCAGGGGGGACGGCAGCACAGAAATCTCGCCTCACGCCTCTCCACTTTTTGAGTTTCTGGTCCATGTTCTCACCTGGCTTCAGAGGCGCCACTACAATTCCTGGCCAAGGGTGCAAAGGAGCCTCACTTCTTCAGCTGAGAAGCAGTTTCCTTACACTGGCAACTGTGTGGGGGCTGGGTATTTACTGGTAATATTGTGAAGGCTGTGACGGCTTTGCTCCACACCCAATTCGACACAGCTGATCGCTAACCTTTGGGAGACCAGGCAAGGCCTTATCCTGATTAGGGGCTATTGTATATGACTATCTTCCTGATCTTCAAATTTATTTGCAAGATATGGCAACAACAGCTTAATTGCTCTTTCTGCCCTGTGCCTCCTTGTTCCCGGTGCTCACAGAACAGGCTTTGCAATCTTCTTTCTGAAATGTGTTTGTTTGTTTTTGACACTCCTCCAAGGACTCAAGGCAGGATACAATGCACCCTTATCTCGTTTTCTTCTTCACACAATAGCAGCCCGAGAGATAGTGACTTATCTAAAGATAGCCAATGAGTTTTCATAGGTAAGCACTTATTTGATCCCTGGTTCCCATGCCCACGCTATGTCCACACTCTGCTAGGGTGGCCATCTGCCCTGCTTTACAGAGGAATGGTCCTCTGTTGAAAGGTGCCCGTCCTTTCAAGGGCTGCCCAGTCCAAATCTGGTTTAAAGACTAAAAAAGCCCATCAGAAAGTACAACTGGGGTCTTGGAGCTGCCCTTCAACACTGAAAGCAGCTGGGCAGCAGACATGTGTTGTATTCATATTTAAATAATAGTAATTAATTTTAAATCTGTAGTATATGCACAGGTTATCTGAATCGTTTTTTGTTGTTGCATTTCTTCTTTTTGGTGAGGCATAAGTGGCCCCCACCACAAGTGACTATTCACTGCACCTTCGAGGGGCTGCCTCAAATTAGGGTCCATAAGGACATTGTCATGAGTTCTGCCTTCCAGGCCAAGCTGCAATACATGGCTAAACTTAAATTATCATCTTATGAGCAAGAAAAGGTCTGAGCCACATGGTCAAATCTTATCAGCTATACACCTGAATAAGTTGTCTAAAAAAACAACCTCACTGGAGTTTCCCTCCACAAGCTTCTCAATAGATTTGTCCTTTTTTTTTTAATGCACTGTCCACTGACCTTCTGTCAGGGTTAGGCTTCTCTTATGGAAATAATCACGTTTTCCCAGAACCCAAATTATAATGTTTGGAGGCTGTCTGCAGGCAGCACATCTTTGTTGTGTGAACCACACACACAAACACACACATGTAGGCTTGCAACAAGGCTAACACTCATGGGAAGTGCCTGCCTTTAAAATACAGTGGTACCTCTGGTTACGAATGCTTCGGGTTACGAACTCCGCTAACCCGGAAGTAGTTGCTCCTGGTTGCAAACTTTGCCCCAGGATGCGAGCGGAAGTCGCGCACCGGCAGCAGTGGGAGACCCCATTAGTGAAAACTCATCTCAGGATAAGAATGGTTCCAGCTTAAGAACGGACCTCCAGAATGAATTAAGTTCGTAACCAGAGGTACCACTGTAACAGATCATGAGTAGTAAGTGCCATTACCTTCTCCCTGGTAAGTGACTAGAGAGAAGATAATGGCATTCGACAAAGTAAATTTATGTATATATTGTTACTATCCACAGCACCTCCACCTAATAAGGATTCAGTTTCAATTTGTGGCCCTCGTCCAGCCCATCACTGACTCTACACACTGGCCGGCCTGGCTTCCCTGATTCAGATGCAAGTGAAATACAGAGTGGGTGTCATCTGCATATTGATGAAGCCACACTCCAAACCCCCAGCACCACCCAGCAGTTTCATGGAAGCATTTAATAAGACAAGATGGGGACGTGGGTGGCACTGAGGTCTAAACCACTGAGCCTCTTGGGCTTGCCAATCAGAAGGTCAGCGGCTTGAATCCTTGCGATGGGGTGTGCTCCCATTGCTCTGTCCCAGCTCCTGCCAGCCTAGTAGTTCGAAAGCATACCAGTGCAAGTAGATAAATAGGTACCACTGCGATGGGAAGGTAAATGGCATTTCTGTGAGCTCTGACTTCCGTCAAAGTGTTCTGTAGTGCCAGAAGCGGTTTACTCATGTTGGCCACATGACCTAGAAAGCTGTCTGTGGACAAACACCGGCTCACTCGGCCTGAAAACGGAGATGAGCACAGCACTCCATAGTCAAATTTGACTGGACTTAACCATCCAGGCCATAAAGAAGGCTGATCGCCGTAGAATTGATGCTTTTGAATTATGGCGCTGGAGGAGACTCTTGAGAGTCCCATGGACCGCAAGAAGATCAAACGCATCCATTCTGAAGGAAATCAGCCCTGAGTGCTCACTGGAAGGACAGATCGTGAAGCTGAGGCTCCAATACTTTGGCCACCTCATGAGAAAAGAAGACTCCCTGGAAAAGACCCTGATGTTGGGAAAGATGGAGGGCACAAGGAGAAGGGGACGACAGAGGACGAGATGGTTGGACAGTGTCCTCGAAGCTACAAACATGAGTCTGACCAAATTGCGGGAGGCAGTGGAAGACAGGAGCGCCTGGCGTGCTCTGGTCCATGGGGTCACGAAGAGTCGGACACGACTAAACGACTAAACAACTAAACAACAACAAACAAACCATCCAGGAGTCCTTTACCAGTGTGGTGTAGTGGTTAAGAGCAGTGGACTCGTGATCTGGTGAACTGGGTTCGTGTCCCTGCTCCTCCACATGAAGCTGCTGGGTGACCTTGGGCCAGCCACACTTCTCTGAAGTCTCTCAGCCCCACTCACCTCACAGAGTGTTTGTTGTGGGGGAGGAAGGGAAAGGAGATTGTTAGCCGCTTTGAGACTCCTTAGGGTAGTGATAAGGCGGGATATCAAATCCAAACTCCTCCTCCTCCTCCTCCTCCTCCTCCTCCTCCTCCTCCTCCTCTTCTTCTTCTTCTTCTTCTTCTTCTTCTTCTTCTTCTTCAATACAAGATGAATCCCCACAGTGCACCACAGCATAAATGCTATGAGGCTAAGCAGAAAATCTCCAATGCTATTCTCTGGTAATGGTCCTATTGATAGAAACAGCGCCACCGTAACACAGTGCCCCCATTTCCTACGCCAGGAAGATACTATGGTCAGTGGTATGAAACATAGCCAAGACGTCCAACAGACTCAACTGGGTACCATTCTGTCTGTCACTCTCCCAAATATAATCAACCAGGGTGACCAAGGCTGTTTCAATGCTATATTCAAATCTGAAGCCAAGCTGAAATGGGTGCAGATAATCTGCTGTATCCAGGGATAGCAGCCACCACACAATCACCCTGCCCAGGAAGTGATTATTGCAACTGGGTGGTAGTTATCTAAACTTCAGGTTCTGGGGATACCATCATCAGGAGGGGATGCACCACTGTATCCTTCAATGCAGTGGGCATCTTCTCCATAAGTGAGAGATTAAGTGCTCCCTATAGACATCTAGTCAATCCATCTCTGCTTAAAAGGCATGATGGGCTATGGCCAAGAGAGAATGCAATGGGCCTGATCCCTTCCAGGGTCCTGTCCCTCCTCAGGCAGCAACAACTGATCTCACAAGCTTCAAGCAGACAGTGCTCTAAGCACCTTCACAGGACTTGCATTAACTGGGCAGCAAGTGAAATAGAATAATAATAATAATAATAAAATAATTTTATTTATATCCCGCCCTCCCTAGCCGAAGCCGGGCTCAGAGCGACTAACAACATTAAAATGATACAACATTCTAAAATCATTTCATTATGTGGATATGTGGATACGAGCAATTTTGCTGATTGCTGTCAAAGGCTGCTTTGCTATGGTTATCTGCTTTCTCTTCAGGGCTGGATTTCAACAGCCCATTCACCACTTGGAAAAGCAACACTGGGCAGTCCACCGAGAAGGCATACAGTGTACAAAGACAGCCCCATGGTTATCATGTCCTGAGGCAGAGCAGAAAATTGGCCCTAATACAGATCTTGGTCCATGACACAAACAACCTAGAGAGAACCTCTGCTAACTTCAGACGCAGGGAGGCTGCGTCAAGAAGTGGGGTGGGTGCTACATCACCAACACCCCAGGCTGCTCTGTAGCTCAGCCCCTCTGGTGCAGATTCTCATATCCAGTTCCCAGACAGGCTTCCTGGTGAGAAATTAGTTTCCCATGCATACAGGTTGAGATCTGAGCTACCGATAACCTGTCATTTCAAGTTAGTTCGTCACTCAGGGTCAGAAATATGCATAAATATTGACCTTCAACCACCAAACTATCCTGTTTAGCCTGCTTCTCCGTTATGCTGAAATTCTTCCATTGCGTATAGGAGGGGCCAATGCAAGGTTTAAACTTAGAGAGTCCTACAAAATTGTAGTGATGGGGGAGTAAAGAAGCAAACTTCCTCATACCGAGGTGCTGTGCATTATACGCTTGGCCAAATGCATTTGGATGCCCTGAAATGGGGGTCACAGTTCTGCACCTTTTCACACTGCCACCACGTACCATAATTCACGAATGAACCCCGTGTTCCTTCCCTCTCTCCCAACTTCTTTCTCTTTCCTCTTTCCTGATTCTTTTCCAGTTGGGCTTCACCCTGGTAAGGAGAGGGAGATAAGCACAGGTAGTTACTAAAGAAATGTGTGTGATTTTCCTCCTTTAGCAAAATGGAGGGCAGTAATAGTTGAAGGACTGTCCTGAAACCACCTAGCCCAGGGTTTATCTGACTGGGGCTGGTAGGAGTTGGATCCTAATAGCAAGTGGAAGGCCACAGATTCCCCCAAACCTGATGTACAGGGTAGGCTGCAAAGTGACAGAATCAATAAAGCTCTAGGGAACTCACGGTCTGTATCCTATTGGTTCACAGTTCTCACATGAATTTCTGATAAAGTATTTGGGGCAGTATACAACTACCACATCCTGTTGGTGCCTTTATTTCCGCTTGCTCAACAGGACACCCCCCCCCTACACACGTCCTGCATCCTCCCTCAAACACTGCGCATGCCAGTTATTTATTTCCCAGTTAACCCCCACCCATGGGATTGGCAAATACTTAGAAATGAAACACCAAGAGGGAAATGCTCAGCATTTTGAAGATCAAAGTAGAATCTTTTGACCAGGAACAGGTTTCTCTTCTTTCTCTGTAGTTACGAGATATTAATGGGGCTCCCAGCCATAAGGAAGTGATGTATTTCACACCAGCTCTTCTGATGGCTGAAGAGGCACTCTAGGACCTTGAGCTATCCCTGCCTCTCTCTTTTTTAACCTGTTTTTGCGCTTGTTCGGAGCCATTTTTAAACCCCCTTCTCACCCAACACAGTGGCAGGCAAAGATGTTCATTGCGCTCCAAACATTGAACCCTAAAATTCAATAAGGAAACCTCTATTTTCACCTGGTCACATGATAAAGATGCAACCATGTGTGGGGATATTCAGGGTTGGCCCAATAGGTTTCACTGTGTGAAGGCCTTGCGTAGACCCAGATATGTTCCATCTGGCACATGGCCCCTTAGAAAGAAATAGGAGACCAGCTCCTGAAGGTGAGGCCTAGCTGGAAGAGTTTGTTGCTACCCTTTGCAGAATCCTAGGCCTCATCAAGAAAGACATTGCACGTTCCTTTGTAATTCATGAAAATCATATATTCATATATATATATATGCTTAATTTACCATTAACTCTGTCAGTAATATGTTCATACATAAACAGCAAGGGGCAAGACATCCACCAGCGTAGTCCTGAGTGGGGAATCTGATGCCCTGCTAACATTGTTGGACTTCAACTCCCAATACCCCTGACCATTCCAGTGACCCTGCTTTTGTATCTGTTTTGCCACATTGAGCCAACCAAAGTGTTTTGGCTTTCCCTATGTCTCACTTGCTACCTTTAACACCTTGGCTGCACTTCAAGGAATATCCAAGCCCAGCCCAGTTGACAGCTTGGAGGCCTTCAGTCCCTAGGAGCCTGCCTGGCCGCTGAGGCAGCATGTAATGAAATTACTGCAGTGAAAACTGTTGGCTCCTTTCTAATTGTCCCATGCCTAAGAGGAGTTTGTACTCCATTTTTCTTTAATCAAAATCCCCTAACCTACTTATTTAATATTTAAACTACTGTGGGATCTTCAACAGTAACTTTGAATGTATCTTACTGCCTTTCCGTGGTGCAGGATTTTCCACAAATACAGTGGTACCTCGGGTTAAGATCTTAATTCGTTCCGGAGGTCCATTCTTAACCTGAAACTGTTCTTAACCTGAGACACCACTTTAGCTAATGGGGCCTCCCGCTGCTGCACAATTTCTGTTCTCATCCTCAAGCAATATTCTTAACCTGAGGTACTATTTCTGGGTTAGCGGAGTCTGTAACCTGAAGCATCTGTAACCTGAGGTACCACTGTAATGCACTGTGACTGTGCTGTTTTGTTCTCTTGTCTCCGTTTCAGTACGTTTCTGTTTTTCTGCAGTCCCAAAATGCTCCTTGATTACGTAGTCCCAAAACGCCTGTTTATCCTTTGATGCATTTGCAGGTCTCTCCTCAAACTTGTGCTTCTGAGAATGGAGATCTCACATTTTCTAAGTGCTCAATGTGCAATATTTTGTAGCTGGAAAAATTAGTGGTTCCCCCCTCCTCCATTCATGGGAACGGCTATTGCAGAGGTAGCCAAAGTGTCAGTGGGGGTGGTGTCCTCTGGGTACAACCTCCCTCCCCCTCAACACATAAAGTTTTATTTATTTTTAAATTGGACATTTCACCACACTCCCTCTTTCCTGTGTGGGAGTGCACATCTCACCATGGAAAAAAAGGGAAAGAAAGGACTGAACAAAGGCACCATCTAGTTGCTCCATTGTCATTGAGATTCGGGGTGGGGTGGGGAAGGAGCTGAGACACAGGCGAAAATGTGATCAGGGCACCCTTTGCCCCACTGCACTGAAAGGCCCCAAGGAAGGGAGAGTTATTTTGCTCAGTAGATCAATGTAAATTCTGAAGCAGGGTTGTTTGTGGTCACCTGCTAATGGCATAAAGCCTGAGAAAAGTTTAACCCTGTCTCTCTACAAAATAAAGAACCCATACACACCCCAGCTGAGGAAAGGACACAGTGGCAATATCACTAGTTGGTGCTAAGTATGGGCTATTGTTGCCTTTAGCACAGGATGTCTGCTTCTCTTGATTACACACTCCTGCTAATTATGCATTTTGTCTTGGGTTGTTGTTTTTCTTTATTACCCTGTCTCTACATTCTCTGTAAGCTACCCCCAATATCTATTAATGTTCCAGAGATTGTGTTGCTCACAGCTTCACTTTGTAACAGTTAGTTTAATGCAGCTCAAGGTAGATGAAACTTAAAAAAAACATTCCTCCATGGTATATTTCCCTTCATCAGTCATTCCATTTGCATATTGTCACACACACTCCCTTACATGGTCTCATCTGTGTTGTTCTTTGTCTCGTGAAGAGAAGCTACAAAACTGTGGCATACTTCCAGTGGGGGCTGGCTCCCATTGGGACTGGTGGGGTGGAAGGCAGAGAGGACAACAGTAAATGGAGTCAAAGCCAATGACAGGCAGAGCCAACTACTTATCCTAGAAGCATAAAATTGCAGAGTTGGAAGGGCTCCTGAGGGTCATCCAGTCCAACTGCAATGAAACCTATACCAGGGTGGGCAGAGAGCTCTCCTTCACTGAAAGTCTTCAAACAGAGGCTAGACCGAGATGCTCCCTAGCTCTGCATTTCTGCACTAACCAGAAAACTGGACAATACAGTGGTACCTCAGGTTAAGTACTTAATTCGTTCCGGAGGTCTGTACTTAACCTGAAACTGTTCTTAACCTGAAACACCACTTTAGCTAATGGGGCCTCCTCCTGCTGCTGCTGCTGCCTTGCCGCCGGAGCACGATTTCTGTTCTCATCCTGAAGCAAAGTTCTTAACCTGAAGCACTATTTCTGGGTTAGCGGAGTCTGTAACCTGAAGCGTATGAAACCTGAAGCATATGTAACTTGAGGTACCACTGTATTATATACAAGGGCCCCTTCTGCGTTATTCTGCAGTGTTTCCATTTGAAAATAGATGTAGGCGGTCCTGGCTATGGAGGGTGTATCCGCATCTGTGCAATGACGTAGTTATACCAAGATAACAATCACCACTTCCTCCTTTCTTTATCTGGGGCATGTGCAGGGAGGAAAAGGCATGGATAACCAAATCAAGGGCAAGGTTTTCAAATGCGCATCAAGTAACTACATCCACCCATCCTTGTGGATGATCTAGTATAAACCGAGGTTGAAAACATCATGTTGAGTTCAGACATGAATGATTCCAGACTGAGAGAACTTTGTGTTTGTGCTTCAAATGGGATAGTGTATACGCAGCCTAAGTCACTGGGATTTGTGCACTAGTGGAAGAAAACTGGCCTGCTGCAAAGGGATTGCACGAAACCTGCAAGGGAGAGGCCTTTGTATTGAAATCCAAACTTGCTAGGTTGGTTTGTTGTTTTTTAAAACCATACTGCAATTATGGAACAGTGTTGTTGCAAACATTGCACAAATAATTCACCACCAGTACAGTTTCGCTGTTGACAGTAAACTACACTGGCTATTTATGGCTGGTTCCATCCCTTCATTAGTGTGGCAGCAAAAGAAGGGAGTAGCTGGACATATGGAGGAACGTTTGCTTTTCAAATGGCTGCTTTTTGACACTGTGCAGCTCCTCACATTCAAAGAGCTCCTAGGTATATAAAATGGGGGACATGTTAGTAGATGGGTATGAAATATATCCAGCACTTACCCACTCCCAACCTTCTCTCTCTTTCTGTTTGCAGTGCAGGTCCTGGTAGATGGGGCACCACTTCGTATCCAGCTGTGGGACACTGCAGGACAGGTGAGACTCGTAAATTAAAGGAGAATACGGGTTTGAGTTCTGATGGGGTGCCAATAATGTCAGGAAGAAGGTGGTGAAAATCTGGGTCAAAGTGAAATTATAAGTGGCATTAATAATTGCTCTTCTACAGCACATTTCAAGTTCTAAAGATGTTTCAGATACATCACCCCTGTAATCCTTACTACAGACTTACTAGGCCAATCTTACCAAATTAGGAAAAAGCCCTGCTGGATCTCGCCAAAGATCCATTTAGTCCAGCATCCTCTTCTCACAGTGGCCAACCAGAGGCCTGTCAGAAGCCTACAAGCAGGACCTAAACGCAACCAAACTCTTCTTACTTGTGATTCGCCGGAACTGGTATTCAGAGACATACTGCCTCAGACAGTGAAACACAGCTAGGATCCCTGTACCACCGCTGAGGGTATGCAGTATTGTCACCTGATGAGTTTGTGTTTGAGGTAACATTAGAACTGAGGGCTCCAGGAATTGAAATCTACTGAAGCCTCCACAGCCAGGGTACTGAAAAATGTGGGGTACCTCTGTATAGAAGTGCAGCCCTTGCTAGAGAAGCTTCCCAAGTGTTAATTGGAACATCTGGCTTTTTTTGCTTGGCTGAGATCCCTCTTTGTAGTGGACCTTAAAGTCTCTCCCTTTTACCTCGGGTTAAATGTGCTTCAGGTTGAGCGTTTTCAAGTTACGCTCCACGGCGACCCGGAAGTAACGGAGCATGTTACTTGTGGGTTTCGCCGCTTGCGCATGCACAGACGCTCAGAATGACGTCACGCGCATGCATGGAAGTGGCGAAACGCGACACGCGCAGTCGCATGTTACATTTTACTCAGGATGCGAACAGGGCTCTGGAACGGATCCCGCTCGCATCCAGGGGTACCACTATACATGGGCCAAACTGAGCTTCCTCTAGTTATGAGAGTGGGTGCGCTACCAAGTTGTCTTTGTTTCCCTTTGGTTACACTTGGAAAGCTCAAGCTGTTTTGTTTCTTGGCTTCAGAAGGTTTGCTGGGACAAAGGATGAAAATGTATGCTTTAGAGCAGGGGTCAGCAAGATTTATCTTGCCTGGGTTGGATCGGTCTCGCGGAGATCCCTCCATGGGCTGGATTGCATGCGCCCGTGATTTTTGACGTCTGTGCGTGCGCAGACGCGGTTTTCGGCATATGCGTCTGCGCAGATGCAATTTCCGGCACCATGGAAGCAAGTCCCTGTGCCGGTTTAGCGCAGCGCGCAAGCAGGTAACTCAGTTTGGGGGCCAGTCAAATGACCTCCGCAGGCCACTTCCGGCCCATGGGCCTTAGGTTGCTGACCCCTGCTTTAGAGCTTTGTGGAAAAGACAGCATTACTACATTTTATGAGAACCCTCTAGCCTATCAGCCACAGCTAGTTTCTGCCGGTATGCATCGCAAACCAAATTCAACATCTCCTATTTTTCCTCTGCAGGAAGACTTTGACTGCCTCCGTTCACTCTGTTACCCTGACACAGATGTCTTCCTGGTCTGCTTCAGTGTTGTAAATCCCACATCCTTCCAGAACGTTATGGAGAAATGGATCCCTGAAATACGGACACACAATCCCCAGACTCCCGTGGTGCTGGTGGGAACACAGTCAGATCTGCGGGACGACGTCAATGTGTTGATCAATCTGGACCACTATCATGCCGGGCCTGTGCCAAGAACTCAGGCCGAGGGCCTGGCTGAGAAAATCCGGGCTCAGACTTACATCGAGTGCTCTGCTCTGACTCAAAAGAACCTGAAGGAGGTTTTTGACACAGCCATCATCAGCGCAGTTGAGCACAAGGCCCAACAGGAAAAGAAAATGACAGCCAAGGGAATAAAAACTCTCTCCAAGTGCCGGTGGAAGAAGTTCTTCTGTTTTGTCTGAAGCTGGTTTGGGAATGAAGAGGCCTAGAAGTCGGGATTGGACTTTGCACTTTCTGCCACAGAGGGCAAAGTGGCTAACTGAATGAAAAAGTGGCTCCAACAAGGAGAGTGTCACGAGCCAAGGGGACCTGGAGCCCCAGGATTTGCTGGGTTGGGATAGAACTTTCCTGGAAGACAGGAAGTGGACTTGTGTAGTAGTGCCAGGATACCAAATGGCTCATGCAAACTCAATAGAACTGGGGTGGTTTGAAGCTTCTTGTACTGAGTTCAGTATTAAAGAATAGCCAAGCCTGTCATTTTAGGTACCCAGACAGCATGGGCAGTTTCCAGAACCTCCTCACAGCAATCTTATTTAAACCCAGGAGAAGCCAATGCAGTGGGGTGGGGCCAGACCGCTGCCCCCCCGCCCGACAATGGCATTGCTGCTTATTGGGGCAAGGGCAGAGCTGCAGGGCCAGACTGACAGGAGCACCGGGTGCTGGTGTGCCCTCACAGCCTTGTCCTTCCCACAGCCCTGCCCCATAATTTGAAGTGGTCCCTTTTTCAGCCAAGCAGCAGCACTCCACCTCATGGGATTAAACCTGAGATATATTCTTGAGGCTGATATCTCCTTTTCAAGGCACAGGCAAGGATAGAGGGATTTCTCCTGGGAGACAACAATGTCAAATAACATGGCCTGCTCAAGGAAAAAGTATCTTTTATACTTTGCTTTCAGTCCTGCTTCAGGAAGCGGAATAAGTCCTCCAGACAGCAGGGTCTTTGTATGAAGGAGTATCAGTTGTGTGGCACATCCTTAAAAGGACAAAGCATTTTCTAGCAAAATGACATGGAATGATCCCTATGCTTCCACAATGCTATTCCAATACAGTATATCATTTTGGACATCATGTATTTAAGGTTTTTGGTAGGGTAGGGAACCTTCCGGCATCTAAATGTGAATATTTCCCTCTTAAGAAGGACCAAGTGCATTTGAAAGAACTGTAAGAAAATTTCACTGTTGTGTGAAACAAATATTGTAAAAGTGAGAAGATAAAATAGGAGGGAAATGACAATATAGGAGAAGCATGTGACAAGAAGGGCAGAGAGATGGTAGGAATGAAGGAGAAGAGAGCGAGACAGACAGAGATACAGAGATACAGAGGGAGTTTAAGGAAGGTGAAAGGGAGGCATAAAGGAGCATTTCCCAGTGTAGTGCCCTCCAGATGTTTGAACGTCCAGGTCCCATGAGCACAGCTGACTGAGGCTGGTGGAAGTGGTACCAGGCTGGCATAGAGAAACCAAGAGACAGGAGAGTATGTCGCCATGGGGTTTAGATAATGTTGGCAGAGGGTTGTGTTGTTTTGCACTAAGAAACCCTTCAGTGACCTCACCTCTTGATGGTTAGTCATACCTCAGATTCAAATGAAGGAAGATGCAATAGGGGAATTGTCATGGAAATAAGATCTTTGATGTGCTGTACTAAAAGCAAGGAGAGAGACTGCTGTTCTTCCTGTATCAGGAAAGAACTGGCTTTGCTACCTATGGGTGGAGCGTGAGAGCCAGAAATTCTGGCAGCCCTGGAGTAGGAGAGATCCCACCTCTGGATAAGGATCCGAATGCAAGCCTGGACCTTTGTATAAGAGGTGAGAGTGCCTGCAAATTGTTCAGTACAGAAAAAGAAGTGGCACTGTGTTACTAAATACACAAGTATTTTGGAATTCACCAGTTTCTTAAATGCCAGGCTTCGGAAAATGTAAATGAGAAGTGGGAACCTGAGTGGCTTTGCTTATTCACTTGATGTCTCCACAGGCAGAAAACAGCGTCCAGATCAGGGATTGATCATCACATGCGGTAATCATGCGTATTTCCTTTTTGTTACCAGTGGATACCCTGGGAAGCTCAGCCATCACTTTCCAGCATTTGTACGCCTTGTGTGATGATCAGCACACAGTTTGCATGTTGGAAATGTGCTGTGTTTGAAGCAGGTCTTGATCATCACTATTCTAGAGTTGCACGGCACACTTTTGCTGCACAAGTGGAAAACATTGCATGTTGGGTCTTTATGCATTTCCATTGTACACGGGGGGAGGTCCTGGAATGAGGTTGGACATCATGGCAGCCCTGTGTTGAGGACTGAATCTTAAAGGCAGTGCCAACACCAGGGGTTCAAAGGAACTAAGCATGCTTCCCTTTTCCTGCAGTACTAGGGAAGGATGCCTGGGTGTTGTCAGTTCATGTTTGTAGCATTGGAGGGATTCCAAGGAGTTCTTCCTGGGAAAGAAAGGATCCTCAATCCTGTTCCCATTGCCCTGGGGACTGTGTATCATACACTTTTTGTTTTGTTTCCAAATAAAGATGTTTTGTTTAAGTATGAATGCGGTTCTGCGAATTATTTGCATTGGTGGGAAATACCTTCACAGATTAAATGGAAACGAATTCAAGGTAGCAAAAGCCTAGTGATGATGAATAAGAGTCACAGAACATTTTCTTCCCGCAGAAGTAGCAAGACACAAGTTGCAAAATGTCAGGTGAATTTTGGCAATCCAAATTAAACTGGGCAAATCGGACTCCTCAGCCTTAATCACACATGTGTGGTTGAATTATTGAAGACCTCATTCTGTACATATTGCTAAATAAATAAGCCACAAAATATCCCTCCAAAAGCAAAATAAACTGTTGGGAGCAGTACAGACATAATTAATAATACAGATAATACAGGTGCCATCATACACAAAGTCGGCCATTGGGTGGAATTCAGTGTCGTGTTATTATAATAGTTCCATCTGTGCAACCAGTTCAGTTTTCTGCATTATTTCTTTTGGCAGTAGGAAAGAGTATCTGTGCTGTAAGGCCATTACTTTGATAAAATCATTATTTCACAGCAAGCTACTTGGACGCCAGCAAAATAGACATAGACTAAGCACTTTGATCCTGCTGTAACCAACCGTCACTTGACCTGGCCAAGTTGCAGCATGCCTTGCTGCTTGGGCGGCAGCCAGCGGGGAGAGTTTCTGTTTTTGGTGTATTTAATTCTAAAGGAAATCCACAGTGACACAGATTTTAGAGTTGCTGTGTCAGCTGCTACTGCTGCTTTCCAGACTAGCTGATGAGAAGCAATTTGATGGAAACCTATCTGACTGGGAGTGATAGCAAACTGTCAAAGAACCTTTAGAGTAATTCACTGCAAAAAAACCAAACATCATCTTTTGGGAGTACAGCAAGCCTAGGAAAACACTTGAGGTAGAGGATCTAGTTGGTAAGAAGCATTTTTATGGTGTTCCATATAAGAGTAAACTGATACCTTCCTCAGTTCCCCTGTGCTGAACCAAACTTGCTGGTAGACGCAATTATAAAAGCCTTAAGGCCACAGAAAGGTTCTATATTTTTAACAATAATGATAATTCATATAGCATTCTTATGTGCAAAATCTCTTAAATCTTTATTGCATTCATCTTGCAGAGTTAATATTACTAATTCGAAAAACTCTCTTAAAGTGCCAAATCTCTTACTATCTTTATTACAGACATAAAAGCTGAGAGTTTGTAATAACACAGTGCATTTACAAAGCACACTTCAAAGCGTTTCACATTTGTTTATCTCTGTAATCCTTAACAAACTAGGTCAGAATAATTAATTGTCTCCATATTGCAGATGGGAGTGTGGAAACTGAGCAAACAATAATGGCTTGTTAAAAAGGACTTGAATCTATAGATTTCTCAGGTTCATCCCCGTCATGGCAGCCACTCGTCAGCTCGTCATGGCAGCCACTCGTCTCCAGAGAGATCCAGTTTCATGTGTGTGTTTTAAGCTGATTTTCTGCCTGCAGCATAAAGCCACCCATCCATTGACTCTTCTTCAAATCATGCTAAACCATGTGATGCAGCTGAATCATGGTGCAGAAGGCACAGAGTGAGGGCTACCTAAGGGCCAGTTTCAGTCTGGGCACACTCTTTCCAGATTATACCCGATACTGGCTGCATTCTTTCCACAGCTTTATAGTTAGCAGAGGACAGCAGAAACTATGCAACTTAGCTCACTTGAAACCCCTTCTCTTGGCTCCATAAAAAGAGCGGTCTTTATCTATGCTATTAATTTTTTGCTGAGAATCTCCCACCAGTGTGAGACTCATGTGAATGGCAGCGTCCTGCAGCTGGCTGCTAAGTCATATTCCTCATAAATCCCAGCTGATAGCAAACCTAATTTATTCAGGGATGGCAATCTGCAGGGCCATTCACAGGAGGGTATTGATTTTACCAACTCTAGCATTTGCAGTGTGGGAAAAACACAGCAAATGCCTTGCTTACCTTAGGCAGTTGCCCATTTGTTTCACTACAAAAGAATGCATCCCTTAAAAGGCTTGGCTTCACCTCATCAGCTTCCTGCTGGGACAGCTACCCTATTCCCGCTCCTGATCCCAGGCTGCAAATTAAGCCCTGGGACACCAAGTATTGTTCAGTTCAGTGGGGTTCCTCTTCCTAAAGTGGGGTGTGGCCAGGCTTTGAGAACTTCCAAAAGATTCACCCTTCCTGCTGTTTTTCTTCCAAGCCTTATTTACAATGCATGGCGAAATGTAGATGTTGGTTGGTGGTGATGAAGTGAGTCCTTTAGCCAGCCTCTTTTTAACTTAACCGTGCTAATTATGGGGGCCTTTTAAGATAACATGCAACTGGGATGGTCCTTCACTTCCCCCAGAAGCCTGGGGGTATTTCCCCCTTATAAACAAAATTCAAGGAACAGGCAATTATACTATGATGCATTCAAATAATAAAAGATTAGTCTGCTCGTTATCTTACCATTTTTATTTCATGTATCTTCACAAAACACTAAGGAACTAACTTGGGCGTTTTCATTTCACCCCAACATCCTTTAATCCCTGCCTCTTTCTTCATTGTTCAATTTGCTTGCTTAACTTCCCGCCTGATGAAAAGTTTTGATGAATTCAGAAGCTTCTTTGTGATTTTTTAGTGGATTGTGCTTTTGTTACTGTCCATAAGTAACAGCATTACCTGTCTTGTGCTTTTA